GTTTGGCCGCCATTTTGAGGGACTTGTCAACATGAAGCGTAACCGATATAAATCAAGCAGGTTAATCTTAAACCGTCCGAAATATATAAGAAAGCAATTCAAATGAACTTTTCTTTCAATTCAAGCGGCAAAATTTGAAATTGTTTGTTAAACTTACCATCCCCATGCGACCATTTATCCCAACAATACAAACACTACAACTTTCTGAATTCCCCTCGTCGATTCCACCGCAAGAAATAACCTGTGCCACCCAAGCTTCGACTCGAATGTGAAGTACGAATCAAATAACATAACTGCTTCATCTTCGCGGCAATATCACGCTGGTATTTTGATTTTCCGATCGACAAGAACGGCGATCAAGAATCGATCGGTTTGTTTACCTCGTAAACGTGACCGCTGACCAGCTGCTGAGTGAAAACAGCACGGTTCAGAGGCGAGGAGCGGGGTGAGGGGTGGATGCGGGCAGATTATCAGAAGGTTTTTGGGAACATTCGATAAACATTAGGATTCTCGGTCTTAATGCGAAGGCATACTTCGTGTTGCAGACAACTTTTGTTTTACTTAGTATTCTTTTTTATTTCAAATACACTTCGTTCCAAATAGGACTAGCATCAGTTCATAGATTTAAAAGCAAATCTTTACCACGTAAATAAATATGTTTAGATAATCGAGATAACCATTGAACCTCTTGTATCGCACCGGAAATAACGTGTCTTGTCTTTGCCCAACTCTGAGAGCGTGGAGCGGCGAGGACGCGAGATACGAGTCTTGCGTCTCGCGGATTCACCATGCTCACAGGATACGCGTGACCTTACTATCTTAAAGAAAAATAAGAGACTACTCGAAGTCTGTATTCCGTTCAACCATTTTATAAGAGTGACGCGAGTCTTTCAATTGAATGAGAAAGTCACAAAGCCATTCTTTACCTCACGAGCGTAACCACTGACCACTCACGAATTACAGTAGGCTTCTCCTTTGACGCGGAAATTGAAATCGTATCGAATATACAAAGTTATAATGAGTTCCTTTAGATCTCCCGAACTTGTATCGCTTTGGAAACAATTACAAGTACAGGAAGAAGTCGTTCACATGCAAGACGTTCATTATGTCTCAGGACTGCTTTTTGAATAGCAAAGATGGAAAAAACTTTGGTTCATCGTGTGGCTTAAGTGGTTTGGTACGACTGTCTGAGTGCAATGACGAAGTAAAACATCATTTGATAAGCTGCCACCTGTCTAAAGAGGTTTTTAAGTGAAAATGAGCTAATCTTGGCAAGGATTGGCCTATTTCACCTCGCTCAGGAGGATAAACAAAAAAATGTGGATTTGCTATAGGCATCGCTACACTCTGGGGAAGTTTTGGAGAAGTGCAAAGGTAACACGTCAGTATCCTGATCATGATGGTGTCAGGGTGCGTATCCAAGGCAGAGATGTAATTACCTTGCATATGTCTCAGGACGTTCAAAAGCTGTTTGGAGTTATTATTCCAGTTGAATCAGGTGGTCTTCAGTAACATTTTCTGTTATCTATTTTTGTCACGTGACATATCTGCTCGAAAAGAGAAGAAATTCTTTATTAGATGAAGGGTACTTAAGTACACATCACGTTGAAAAAAAATAGATCTATGTGTAAGTGCTTTTCATCACAGATGGAAATATGTACAAAGTTGCTCGGTTGATAATCAATAATGTTTTTGTAGAAGATCAAATCACCTGACAACGCAATCTACTTACTCATGCGTACGGTTCACAATTATTTGCGGTCAGTTTTCCTCAGTTTGTATGATTCTCATTAACCGATATGATTAAATTTGCAGACTAAAACACCCCTTATTTGATTAAGAATAATAAAAGTAAACAGTGCATGTCGGTTTTTAATTCCTGATGGATGCTACTGGGCTTTACTTTGACTGAGAAATTTGCAATCACTTACCTCAGCTCACTGTGTCCCATGCCGTAAGAAGCACAAGAAAAAAGTTGATGATAGTGAGTCTTGGCTGAGACAAGAAGAATCAGAGAAGAATCTACGGTCCCCAGAAACGCCACTTTTAAACACGAGACAACTAAGGTAAATTGAATGAATTGTTATTTGTTTTATTTAAAACTATCGTTCAGATTACAAGATACGCGAAAAACTCTCCCCACCGATTTTTTCCTACATTCTGTTAATCAAAAGTTTCAATAATTATAAAGGCTTTCTTGTTGATCGTCTTAGTTTCCAGGATCCAAGGGGAGCAAAAGAGAGAACAATTTTCTGTGTAGCTAGGTAAGGCGACATGCCGGCTTTATACTTCTTCCGGCGTGATAACGATAATGATGACAACAATGGGCAAAAAGCACCGTCCGCTAATGATGACGATTATCATAGTTATTAACAATTCTCAGTTATAGTCCTGAAAAAAATCTCAAGGGGTCCTTTGAACCATCCTCTTAATCTCGCCAGAAGTCAAAGTTGCCTAAACTCATTCTAAGGTTCGTGCGATTTTACGACGAATTTTCAATTCCTGTGTGTTGCAAGCGCGACTTTTGATAGAAAAAACCTGCACGCGCCATAACTTAAAAGAACGTGTCAGCGGAATGAATCAAATCTCTACCACTTTGCATACATTCTTGGGAACAGAAAAAATTACTTAGAGCAAACATACTAAGTATAGAGTTCATTCCGTGCAATGGGGCATAAATAAAAGGTTCTGGTGGAAAAGACATTTTATTTTATACCACTGATGACAAACAAAAAGGTTATATGAGTGCCCGGTTAAAAATATATTGATAACTCTATTAATTAATACCAGCTCTAATTTAAAGGAGAAAGTTATGAGAATAAAATAAAAATTGTCTGTACCTCGAAGCATGCCTTCACTGTTTAGACTGATAGTCCTAAAGCTTTTTGAGCATGCATTCGAATATCTTATGACGATAAGCCCGCCAACCACCCCACCCCGCGCTATGCTATTTTCACTTAGCGGCTGGTCAGAGGTCACGTTTTACGAGGTAAACAAACCGATCTATTCCTGATCACCGTTCTTGTCGATCGGAAAATCAAAATACCAGCGTGATATTGCCGCGAAGATGAAGCAGTTATGTTACTTGATTCGTAATTCATATTCGAGTCAAAGCTTGTGTGGCACAGGTTATTTCTTGCGGTGGAATCGACGAGGGGAATTCGAACACTAGTTGTAATGTTTGAATTGTTGAAAGAAATGGTCGCATGAGGATTGTAAGTTTAACGAACAATTTCAAATTTTGCCGCTTGAATTGAAAGAAAAGTTCATTTGAATTGCTTTCGTAATAAGAGCCTTGTATCAAATCCAATACTATTCAATGTCATAGTGATCTATGCAATCACTTTATATTGGAAAAGTTTGATTTCGTTACATTTAAAAGATTCAAATGTTTAGCTGGTTAAACGGCGATCCAAGGAATTATTAATTAATCACAGGAATTATTATAACATGAGGTGCAGTGAGATCGTTTGTAAGTTATGTTTTTTAAAATAAAAAACCTGCGCTATGTTTTAATAACGTTAGAGTTCTGATATCAGTGAATACTTAGGGGGAACGTTGTTCAGTAGGCCTTTAGCTGTCCTATGTGTACGTGCAAAGTAATTGCATATGTATAAGAGGAAATACGTAACTTGCTTTTGAAGGTCAACTGATTAACTAAGATTTTGTCATCACCACTCTAAGTCAATTATGAATCTGATCTATCGCAACCGGTTTTAGGTCACTCGAGCATGGAAGACAATAAAGAGTATTTAACACTTTTTCAAAAGAAGACGTCTTACTTAACATCGTCACTATCATTATCTGAAGAAACAGTTTTGAGAAATTACACTATCCTGTAAGGTCTGTGTTCTGAAATATTTTTCGTCGCGGTTACACCTACACTGACCGTGAAATGTTCAGCCTTTGTTGTAGCAACGCGATGCACGGATTACTTTAAATGGAAAATGATCCTCCTTCCTGACCTATTTGACGCAATTCAGTTTTGAACAATTCATAATCACCATCAAGAAAGGATAAATATCTTCTCTTGTCACCATGTAATGATAACATTTTGACATTTTTCCTTTCACCACACTAGAGAACCTTCTCAAGGATCATTAGCCTACTCGTAAGTAAGGAATGAAATCAAATATCATATAAAAGCGTTCGATTATCGTATAATTGCAAATTAAGCATGCATTCGTTATATCAAGCTTTTGATATCGGTAAGTATTCCCCTTTGGCCAGACATGCCACTGAATGTGGATAAAGATTTGAGAACTTTTTATTTTCGCTTTCTTCTCAGCCGTGCAGCGACTATCATGATAAAACTGTGATGTCTTAGAAAATTTTTTCATCCCGGCTAATTGCCGAAAAAATCATAGGCAAAGTTGGACATCACCCTGTCCCTCAAAATCACAAACAAAGGACCTAGCCATTTGGTGGCAAATACAACTACACTCATAGATATCAGAATAATGTATTGCGTTACATTCTAACGCTCAGAGGTAGCGAAAATGAGGAAAAAAGGAAAAGTTAGTTATCTGATGGAAATAAAGATGGCTTCAGATCGCGAGGCTCATAAAAAGTAGGTAAAATCGACCAAATTAATTAATGAAATAATGAAATGAGACGAAAGAGGGTTAAATGATTGGAACTCAGGATGGAATCAGGTTGGTTTTGTGGCGGTGTCAGTCCGACTCGCGTATTTAGGCCTATTTATATCTCTTATCTGTTGGCGTTAACAACCCTAAAAATTCTCGAAAAGTAGGCAAGGTTTAAGGGAATAACATGTTTACATTTTTTTCTTTCTGTCATCTTGGGCCCCTGAGTTTTGCTTTGTAATTTCTGGATTTGATTAAATAATCTGGAGAAATGATCTCAAGATGTTATGGCTGAAATTGTATGGGTTACCTGGTTTGAAATGTTTACTCAAAATTAAATGTTACTATTTTTAGTTTGTTTTATTTTCCTCACACTTGATTATTTTTAGGCTGTTGGTGTTTGCGGATGTGAACATGGAGGTTGACGAAAATCCTGAGAGAGGCATATCTTACCTGCAGCAATTTTCCTGCGGAGTGGGGCATGTGATTAATGATGTCACTCGCCGCTTGTTGCAGTCATTCCGAATGATTTTTCTCATGAGAGTTGTTGGCATTTCTGCAACCAATGCCGGCTTGATTACTCTCTACAGTCTTTTTGTCGGTGCATTAATATTTGCTCCAGTGGCAGGTTTTTTGTGTGATAAGGTTAAGATTCCGGTTCTGTCACGCAGGCTTGGAAAGAAAAAATCGTGGCATTTGTTTGGAACTATTGCAGCTACAATCGGTGTTCCGCTATTTTTCAGCCAATGTTTAGTTTGTGGTAGTGGAACCAGCGAGTGGGTGGTGTTGTTGTATTACTTTTCCATCGCCACCGTAATCTCATTTTCCATCAACTTCGTTGACATATCGCACCTGTCGATTATTCCGGTTTTGGCAAAGGATCAAAGTGAGGCCGCCAAACTTACTGCTTTGAGGTTCGTGAAACCCTTTCGATTGCTACACTTATATACTCGTATCCATGTTGGGACAAGTTGACTATACTTTAGCTTAATTAGCCTCAGAGTCAGATTTTGTCAAAACAGGGGTGTTCCCTGCCCCACGTATAGGAACTGGGGACCGATCAGTTTAGCCACCAAAGAACTAAGTAACCAGGCCTGACATCCGTGTACTTTTGTGACGTAGCAACATATACAGTGTCAAGGCATTTGCGCTATTACAATTTTTTTACAACCTGGCTCTTAGCCAAATAAATTTAGGTGAGTTGCAGAGCCCTCGTCACGATTGTACTTGGTACTTAAAATGGTTTGGGTAAATGAACCGATAGAGAAGCCTTGACTGTGCTCTGTTCTTTTGTAAAGCACGCAGGAAGCGACTAGAGCACGAAAGAAGTGAGAAACACAAGACATAGCTCAAACCACTTCCTGAGCGCTTTAAAACAAAATAGAGCACAGTCAAGGCTTCTCTATTTGTTTATAATAAAGAGTCCGTTAAATTCCCAAAGCAAACTCCCAAGCATTACTTTCAATTTTCAAAACAAACTTTATTTCCAAAGCGAACAATAGTGTTATCAGCATGCTCTATACCCTCATAAAGCACGCTACAATAAGCCAATCAGAATCCCTGTTAGAATGGCTTAAATAATCTGATTAGCTGTGCAAGACTAAAGCTGTCAAAAGTGTCAAACCATCAAAGTTAAAACACCATCAAAGTTCACATTCTGCAATAGTTTACAAACTTAAATAGTTCGGCAGGTCTAATTTAACACTTTTGCCTGAAGTTTTTTAGTCTCTAATACAGAATCTGAAAGCGAAATGTTCACTGAAACTCGGCCGAATCGTGGCTCATGAAAACACACGAGTTTTTTCACATGACAGGTAGAAAAAAAACAGTTCAAGGCGAGTGTTTTATGAATGAACGACAGCCGAATTCACCGGAACGTAGAGATCGCTCGGGATGAAAGCGCATCGGAAAGGATATCAGAGCAAGCTCTTATTTTTTCACTCGAAGGGCAGCCGATGTAGTTCCTGAGGCTTGCTTCGCTTCGATGACCGAAGATCGCCATGATGAGCTAGCCGCGATGGACCTCAGCGTGATCGCAGTCGCTCTGACACCGGCATGATTAGTATGACTTTTAACAGTTATGCCAGTTTGGTTATATTTTTCATTCTGTTGCTACTTACCAGCTCGCTTGTTCCGAAATTTCACTTTCAATTAACTTAAAAGAGCCAGAGAGAAGTCCCGGAAAAGGTGAAACATATAGTACAATTTAGCTGATGACGTGACAGCTTTAGCTCAGCTCTATGCTTTATACCCTCATAGAGCACGCTCTTTCAACCAATGACAGCACGTGTTATATCCGAACTTTATTATAGACAATTATGGTAATGTCAATAATGATAATAATGATAATAATAATAATAATAATAAAATTATAGTAATCATAATAAAATTATAGTAATCATAATAACAAATATAAACATAGCGATATTGGTTACATGAATCATGCGTGACTTCCCGGTTTCGCTGGTATGTTTGTATTTCGGTCGTAAGTTTTCCCAAGATCCTACTTCGGATAAATCCTATGTAGGGTTCAAATCCCGTACGGGCCTGAATTTTTTCAGGTCCTATTTACAACTACTCGTTTCAGTAGTGTTCTTAGCTGCGAGGATCTCTTAATTTCAAATCTTATGTAGTTTTATGTATTTGTCGAAGTTGATTTCCTTTCCGAGACAGTTACACTTAATAACTAACTAGTAAATCCCTAGGCCGTTCTTGTCTCTACAAAGTGTAAATATTTTTTAAAGCTCACTTGCAGTTGACTTCTTATCAACAGAACGGGTTTCATGTACTCAACTGGCATCGTTTCCTACCTTGTGGCATGGCTAATTCTTGGACGAGATAGCCGTGATCAGTTAACGAAAGAAAGCTCAATGAATTTTATGGTAATTGATAACATCCACATGATTCTAGTGCTGCCACTGACTATTACTATTCCACTGTTGTTTCTTTCTCTACTTACTTTCTTCCTGTATATCGGACACAGAGCATCAAGGGGTATCCGAGCTTTCAGCTTGGGGTTGATGGGCTCATGTCCATTTGGAGTTATCGCTTAAGCCTGTTTACATGAAGGTGGGGGACCTCAGGTGAGGTAACCCGCCTGTCCATATGATTTCTTATTTCATTTTGATCACGTTTACATGATAGGTGGGGTGACCCGCCAAGGCGGGTTACCCTGTCTGCCAGGTAGGGTAGCCCTGTCAGCCGGGGTGACAATTTGCCATGTAAACGTGTCAAGGTGGGGTAACCCGCCTAGCCGGGGTCACGTTCATGGCAAAAAGCTCAAAAGCTCAAAAGTATGTTTTAAAACTTTGTACATTTCTTAGCCGTTTCATGGCAGAAATCACCAGAAACCGCAACGGACATACAAGGAGTTTGAAATGATCACATTTCGGAATATTTAGAGTTGGTTTCCCAAACTATTCCGTATAACGTATCAAGTCAAATAAGAAATTATATGGACAGGCGGGTTACCCCTCCTAGGTGGGTTACCTCACCTACCTGGGGTCCCCCACCTCCATGTAAACAGGCCCTAAGACAACTTTATCCTTTTTGTGTCTATCACTGAATTCACTTAACTGCAGTTCTGATGTCTGCTCATCTACAGGTGATAACCCTGATCTTGACAGGAGTAGGACTGATTTGCTCTGCCATTTTCCATTTTGGAACCAAAGAACCTTCAGACGATTCGGCGGAAAACAGGCGGTCTAGGTCAACTGCAGATTATATGGTAAATTTTGGGAACGTCGCGATCAATACAATTGTTTAGTCTGACTCTAAATTATGAGAAAAACGATTAAACGTTCATTTGCCCACCTTAAAAAAAAGGAGAGAGAGAAGGAGCTACCTGAGTAACTACACATTTAATGGACATTTGTCCATCGTTTCCCTTTTAATAACATGCAAGCAAAAATTTCGACCCGCTCATTCGCTGAGAACACGACAATTTATCCCGAACAGTGCAGAAAATTGAAATTAAATTGATTTACTGGTAAGTCGCGATAGCACATGAAAACAAAATGATAGACAGGTCGAAAGAAAGTTGAATGTTTTAATTTAGGGTTTGAAGGAGAGTTCTAAGAATGAAAAACCCAACGAAGCGCAAACAATTGGCTAAGAGTGGGGAAGTCTTGGGCACCAAAAACGGTCGTAACAAAAGTATTGAAGGCCATAAGAAAATTCGCGTGGAGTTTACGCGACAGTTCGTGAAAAAGAATGACGGGGAATGTTACAAGTGTGATAGCCTTTGCGTACTGATTACTGCTGTTAAAGCTATTTTCTGATTACTGCTATTAAAGCGATACCTAACTGAGAATGCCAGCAAATAAAAGAAAACAGAGTTAAATTTTTGTCTTTGAAAAATGTACGAGTGCTGATTTATCTAAAATTACATTAAAAATCATGTGGCTACCTAAGCTTTTCGAAGTCTTTATTTGCATGTAAATGTAAACGTTGGGTATAATTTGAAACAATTATATGATCCTTACCAACGGAATTTGGAATCTTGCCACTGCATCGGAGAAGGGATTTTTTCACACCACAGAACTGACCCCCATTGTTACTGTTAACCACCTTACTGAAATCATGATTGCACTTTATCATGACTACGTCAACAGAATTTTTGAGAGAAAATTGCGCCGTATTTCACTAACTATTATTGTCATTTCTGATGATCTTTTTCAACTGATGTACCGCATACATTTGTTGCAGAGAGAAACCTCCTTTATACCATCACCCGTTGTGTTACAGTCATTCGTGTACTTTGACAGATGTAAGTTCTCATTCATTATTTATAAGACCGTGTAACAACTCACTTGTTTCTTTTTTTTGTAACAAAGTTTCCTTTCATTTTACTCCATAAAACATTTTCTTAATTCCATAGCTTTTCTGATCTCAATGTTTTTATAAATTGATATATGACGCCGTTTTTGTTTTTTCATCAACCATAGATCAGCAGCGAAAGGAAAACGGTCGGGGAGTAATGGAAAATGGACAACAAAAGTCAGAATTGTACAACCAGGGTCACAAACTGACCTCTGGTCTTGACAATCAAGGATTCGATTCAAAAGAAACACAGCTTAACCAACATTCTCAGGATGTTAGCCAAGATGAGGGAAGAGCTATGCCATCTGTTGTTTCTGATACTGAATCCGCCCAACCACCAAAACGAAAGGCAGTGAGAACCTGGCTCAAAGATCCTCATTTGTACAAGGTAACTTAATTTCTGGTACAATGAAAATTTCTTTAACACTGACTCGTTCTTTCCTGGATAATTTTAACTTTTGCGTGCATGTAATCATAGTGCACTTGAGTACCTGCAATGTAATCTTCAGCTTTCACACTAAAAAATGCCTATTGCAGATGATCCAGGGAGAAACACAAACCAGGAAACACATGATTTTTCTCTCCACCATTAAATTGCGTTTGAGAGATTATGACACCAGCCGTGAGAATTCAAAAGGTAGCCTAACTTCTCGAAAATTGTCTATAAAGGTGCTAAAAATCCGATTCGAGTCCCGCCATGTTTGGCCTCTTACCTGTGACGTGAAAAAGTATCAGTTTCCATGTTTTCCTTTTCATGGCGATTTCTTTGCATAGTTAAAAGTTCTGAAAAAAGTAAATTTTTAAGTAAAAGAAAGTTTGGTTTTTTTTTTGCAATAACCAATGTAACCGCTACTTGTGAGCCGCGCGTTACATATTTGCGCAAGCGGCCAGGTTACTGAGCTATTTTCAAAACGGCGGCATCCATAGTCTCCCACCTCGGAGGACAAAATTTGAACAGTTAGGATACTCTTTGGAATCCAAAAAACGCGGTGAGTAAAACATTTCTATACACACCGGATTTTCATTATTATGTAGTAAAGGACAAATTTGTTTCCGGAACATACTTCTTCGTTATTATATTGTAAAAAACTTTAGTGCAGGTAATACATCGTAAATTAGGATATTGTCATAAGTGAATTTCTGGAACGGTTGGACGTGGTTATCTACAAATGTAGTTCACTTCTCTTATTTTACAGGTCGCAATTATTTACGCTTGTACAAAGGGTTCACAGGATGTGTTTTACGCTTACCTGCCCCTACTCCTCACTGACAAACTGAAATTTGAAAAGGTATGTACCAGCAAACTTTTAAGAATTTCCCTCGTTGATTTATTTTTCTGGGCTTGAAAGATACTAAACGTTATACTCGATTTTTCTGCAATGGTTAATCAACTACCTGCTTACTCGTCCATTCTCATTTCCTTTCTTCCTCCTTCACCGTCAATTAGCCAACTTTACATTAAGACGGAAGAAGAGACAGACAGGCAGATACAAACGACATGCAGACAGACAGGCAGACAGAGAGACCGGTAGACAGACAGATAGACAGACAGACAGGCAGACACACGACGGACAGGCAGACAGACAGATAGATAGACAGACAGACAGAAGGACCATCACTTAATTTTTTAAACATTTGAAAGAATTGAGTAAAAAATGGAGCAGTTGTAGCAAATTACTATTCAGAGTGGACCACGAGTTAAACATCCCGAATCGCTTTCCTGTTAGCGTTCATACCCTACTATTTATAGCCAAGAAACTTACTCTGTCAATGCCCCACTTACTAAGAATAAAAAATCACAAGGTAAGGACGACTTGATGCTGGTTTAGGCATTACCAAAAGAGCGAAAGATAACCGTCATGATGACTGCAAACCTCCTTCAGGTTTCAGGTAGAAGTTCTACCTACGAAAAACTAGTTCCTCTTGTGAGGGAATTAAGTTGCACGTACCCGATTGGTATATATGGGAGAATCAAGTGCAAATGCAAATTTGATGAAAGCAAGACAATCAATTCGAACCCTCGAGAAAGCTTGTAATTTCTATAACCTCAGACGTTTGTGCTTTTTTCGAAGGAAGCGATTGCCAATCTGCCATTGATATTGTTAGTGAGTGCCACACTGTCCTCTCAAATATCAAGGAAGCTCTCTGGAAAAGTAGGAAAAAAGGTAATGAAAAGAAAAAAAATATATTTTCAGGTAATTTTCAAATGGAAGCGATGTTCGTGGACAAAATTTGAAGCTGATAACCGAATAGCAATTTAATTACCCTTAAATAGCTGGTCTCAAACGCCAACAAGCCGGAGCTAAGCAGTTTGCGCAGCTGGATCTGACTACGACACAAAGTGAATCGATTTAAAATCCAAAAAACGTTCTCTCTCTGAATTCAGCTGCAATTTTTTCAAAAACGTTAACGTTACGCACTAATAGTGTCACATCGTAGTTTTATTTGAGCTTTTTTTATTGTTACCGAGATCACATTGACTAGTATTTCTTTTTACTTAATTTCTATTGCTCCGGAGAAGTGTTCTCTTGCAGCCAAAAGCAACTAAACCCAGCTCAGCAAAGCTTAGGTGATTATTTTCCATATAAGGTTATTCGGTATATAAGCTGGTGACCAGCACCGAGTTAAGCAATCAGAAAACTGGAAATATAATATTCAAAAGCGACAATTTCATGATATATATATCAGCTATCTGTTGAAGCTCCTCATCCTGTTTCAGTGGTCCTTCATTGTGGCTGCTCTGACCGTGACTGGATCATGTTTGTGGTTTCTGTGTATTAACCAGTCATCGAGAGTGTTCACTTACCCAGCCGTCGTTCTACTGGGGTTTGGGTCCTCCGCCATGTTTGTTAATGCACTTGGCTTTGCAACAGAACTCATTGGAGACAACAAAGTAAGTTGAAGAACTCTTTATTTTGGCTTTGATCTAAATTTTCATAAAACTAGTGATAACTATACAAATCCAATTGTGCTTTAATACTAGGATTGTAAGATCACGCTACGAATAGTATAGTTATTAAAGATTTTTTACCTTTCTTTTTGTTTCATATCAAACTCTTTCCCCAGTGCGACGAACATTTGTTTTTCTCGGTTCCAGGTGTACGCAACCACTAACCCCACGTAATGCGCATGCTCTCTGTTACGAATTTTCAAAATGGCGGACAGGTCAAAGAGGGAAATTAAAAAAACAAAGCGATTTTGCAATGAATTCTCAACATACACCCTCGTTAGAAAGGCGAATCCATGGAAAAAAGATACAAAACTGTATGATATTGAGATCGATATGATATTAAATCGATACCGAGGGCCCGTTTAATTGCCTTCCGCCATGATTATTAGCTTTCTTGACAGCTTTCTGAAGACAGAATACTTTCTTTCTAAAGACTTCTGATATGCGGCTATTGATTATTACACCTCGTATACCTGATTGCTCAAACACTTTGTTTACGATTGTTGAAAGGATCGACTCATGGTTCTGCGTCTTCGTCTTGACATTGCTTTGAAATAGTATAGACTAGTAAGCTGAAACGAAAAATTAATCAGGGAAGTTTACGAAAAATCCAGCAAACAAGCTTTAAAAAGGCATTTATTTAGACTTCATACTTCAACGAACTTCACAAATCTTACTTGTTTATCTTGTAAGTAAACAATGGCAGATTAATTCCCGAAGCGCTTTCTGAGTTTCCCGATCCCTCTCCTACTATTTTCACGCTTACAAAACAGGAAAATCAAAAGGAGGAAGATACAGCTGTTTTGAAACGCCATTTGACGAAGGCAAATCTACTTTTTGTTCGACACTTTACATATCAAAACAAAGGAAATTTATTCCTCTTTTTTATTCTGGCGGTACATTTTTAATTTGCACCTGCGTAAAAGAGATATTGACCGAGACCCTTCGCTCGGTCGTGTTTTGATCAAAAACGCCTTGTTAATTTCACGCAACCGCTCGGAGAAAAGGTAAAAATGACTGAGGGAAAAAACTTTACCTTCAAGTTAGAAAATTAGCGAAATAGAAAGCCACAGTATTATAGTTTAATATTTCAGAGGTACATTGAGTGCTTTTTCCGTAGAGAATCCGCACGATGATAAAACATTCGAAAATGACACTCGATTTGAGTGGGGTGTTGAAGTGGGCGTGGTCACTACATTCATGTTAAGACTATTTGTACCCCATGAGTTTGAAATGAAACTAATCCTTTTTATTGGATCAATTTTTTTGCAGGGCAGCTCTGGTTTTGTGATTTCTGTCGTAGGTACCACCTCCAATCTGACCTCAGGGACTCTTTATGTTGTCATACAAGTTTTATTTCCTAGAGGAAGGTAAATTTGGATTTTTTTGCTTTGAGAAAAGAATTATTTTTATCCCTGTAAAATATGAAGGGATTTTTAAAACAAAATGTGACATCCCAGCCTGTTAATTTTTGTTTTCTTCGTTGTTCTTTGTCCTTCCTTAGTTTCTTTCTTCGTCCATTTTCTATCGCGTTTCTAATTTTTTTTCGGTGTTATACATGTTCTTCTTGACTCTTTGTTCTTCTTGTTATTCAACGCTGCTGCTATAAGTCTCTTCTGTTGTTCCTCCTTAGTCCCTACCAGGCTCCTTCCTCCATCCTGTTCAACAATAAATTCCACCAGCATCTTATGGTGCATAGGATGCGTTCCAGGAGCATTAAAATCAATGGGATTTTCTCGCGAAACGAAAGGAGACGACAAAGCCTCAAGATAAATTTTGAGTAAAAGAGGATGGAATTTTCATTAGAAAAAATAATTACACCCAAGGGCTATTCAGGAGAATTACTAAAGCAAAATAGATTTTCAAGATGATAAAATAGCTTTTATAAAACTCAGGTAATCGATGTCAATACAGTTATTAGAGTTATTCTCTTTAGAAATATTTTCCAAAGCGTAAACATTTCGAGTGCTTCGTTCTTTCTCCTAGTGCATCTGCCGATTGCCAAGAGTGTGGGAGTTACGTACAAAATGTGTTCTCATTCGTGCCCAGCTCACTCGCTACTTTTAGCTTGCTGCTTGTAATGATTTTTCAAGTTCACCTGACAGTCTGCGGGAAAGAAGGTAAGATGCAGCTTTTTGGGTGACTTAAAGCCGTGTTTTTGCGTGTAGTTGAAGATGGATGAACTCCAAGCAATCATGAAACAAAGGCTCACTTCCTGAAGAGAAAGAAGAATTAAAAAAATTGTAAAGGGGGTAAGTTTCTAATAGAAAAACCGCGGTGCTGCGTCGGTGGGAGAGTATAACGAGGTAATTTAGTATCAACAACTTAGTTGATAACGTAAATTGGCTACCGTAAAGAGTTTAAAGGCTGGTGCTTCGAACGTTACCCCTTCGTCAGAGCGAAGGGCTGATGCTCGGTTTGTGGTTTATCTTTAAGATAAGATAATAGAAGGAGTTACATAAATGCTCGAGGCATAGCCAGAATTGTTAATACCAATATCATGAATGATTAAAGATTCAATTTCAGATCTATTTCTTATTTTTTAACCCAACACTAAAAAGGAACCGAAAAGGAGACCGGAACAGACTCAGGCTTTACAACTCATCTGTAATGTATTGTTAGAAGAAATAACATGTTGAGATGCTGGCTGGCTGAACTTGATGGCATTCAATTACGTTTACCTCATTTATATTCTCTATGATAATGACAGTAATTTCAATCTTGTGTTGTAGTTCTCTTTTATTTTCTCACTAATGAACTTGGCGCTTGTGAGCGGACTGTCAGTATCGCAGACCGATTATCTTCTGATAATTTTTTTTACTAAAAATGGACAGATTTGAGCATTTTTCATTGAAAATTCTGTCTCGTGAAAAAAAGTAGTCATGCTGTTTTTTTTTTTTTTTTTAGTACTGATACTCTCTGTCCTCTTAGATATTTTTCTGATACTGAAATACAACGAAATGCATTTTTTAAACACATTTTACATAATAAAGAGTTTCGATAACATGTTTGGTTGTCAAATTGTTGTGTTTACAACACGTCAAGACGTTGCTTTTGTGGGAGAACGGTTCAGTACTGCAGTGTACCCGATCTAAACAAACCAGCAGACACGAGATATTTTAAATTGCTGACAGAACAAGCATAAATATCACAACCATGTAACTGCGTTCTCGAGCAACCGAGATCTTAAAGTTTACGATATCGGATATTTTCTAAAACTAAGAGTAACTGTTATGGACCTATCCTTCAGAAAGAAATATGAGGCTTACCGGTCAATACTTCTTTACTGCTTTTAATTGCACGAGTAGCAAAATCTTTACAAAAGGAGGATATTGTTCCTAAACAAGGAGAAAATTTTAAGTCAAAGGAGAATACACTTCGTGTCTTCACCAGCTTCGAGGGCAGTTTACGATGAAGTTTGTCGCAAGTAGGTGAAATCCACTTTTCAGTCGCAACTTTTGTTTTCATGGCCTAAATTGAACCTGATATCAATAACGTCTTGATAATCTATTAAATCTCTTTTTTATCAGCAGTCTCAATGCCTTACATGGAAAGGGATTTGAATATTCTGGCTAATTGACGTGCAAATGAGTGTGTCGTGGGAACAATTTTAAACTCAATGGTTGACTGAAACCATTTTAAACGTTTATAAATACCTTCATATATAATTCTAACAAAAAAATAATCCGCATTCTGTTTTAGAAACGTTGATTTTGTGATACACTTGACACGTAGGTCTGTGAGATTTTATCAAAGAAAAAGTGAGTCTTTAACTGAGTTCCAATTGCCCGGTCTATCGGAGTTTCCTTCTCTCAGCTTTCAAATGCGTTATTTAATCAAACATTGTCTATTTTTAGCAAGCTACAGTATGAGGTGTTACTTCATTATATTAACTGATATGCGCGCATCAGAATTGCGGGAACCTAATAATAATGCAAAACTGACCTGAAAATAATAGTAATGATGAAAAACAAGACACATTTAATTGCGATCGGCCACCTGTTGTGTCTTGGCTGGCAAACTGAGGTGATTTTTCAGCAGTACTGTTATAATATTATTTTGTTTTAATGCCATGCACCGGTATGAAACAGAATTCCTTTTCATCATAAGTGAATGATATTCTTTTCAGAATGTCCGTCGAGAGACGATTAGGTCCTTTATTGAAATAAACCTGTTAAGCAACAGTGTAACAATAAAGGTTCCTAGAAATACAAAATTGACAAGTTGTTAATCATATTCAGCATCAACTAGGAAGTTTTCACTGCAGAAAAGCACATTATTTTGGTTAGTTTATCTTAATATGTTGGGCACTGAGATAAAGGCGCCATACCATACCACGTACTACTTAAACGTAGACAAACTTAGAATGGTGAGCCAGAAAAAAGATTCTTAAATGAGAGTCCTTACTCCGTCGCGTTCAAACTATTAATTCCACCAGCATTCAGAGAACACCGTCATAACTAAATCATTGAAATTAGCTTGATCAGGTGCCCTTTTTATCAGGAAGTCCCCGTATCTTTTTACTATTGACCACAAACATGGTAACTTTGAATTCCTGCTTGATCCACCGATTCAGACAAGGCATCTCTGAATAGATCTTCGTCTTAAATCTGCCGTGTTTATGTTTCGTAGGAAACATTGAAATGGCATTGAAAACTGGTGTAAAAGGTTGATATGATCTTGGTAGACTTGGTGCTTCAAAGGCTATCAGATCTGATTTTGCAAAAAAGAAGATAAGAGAAATTGCTGATAAATACGTATCAAAAAAATTAGATCCTCTTCATCAAAGTGGTCAGATTGATTATTCAAAATGGTGTCCAATGAGTATGTATTCACCTCAAGGTGTAAATGATCCAAAAGATCCATTATGTAAAGGTGGCAGTCTTGATATCCACAAAGCAATTGGTAAATTATCAAAACCAAAATCAGGTTTCACACTTTCTGGACATAAACACACAGGACCATACAACCCACTTGACAAACAACTGAAATATGACAAAAACGTTGGTCAAATACTTGACAGATGCCATTGCAATGCAGCATAATGTTGACTATTCTGTATCCAAAGATAACAAAAAGTGCGAAAATGAAGCAGATCGAAAATGGTCAAAGCTCTTGATGCAGTTCCATATAATGAAAGAAAATGGGGAAGTTTCTTGGCGCGAAACATGATAAACACAAAACATAAAGTTGGTCTTAGCGTTTCAAAAAACAAAAAAAGCCGTCGAGTAAAGAAATACGATGGCAACAACAATTAGCAGAGGAATTAAACAAACCTATGATGACGGATTTTACTCGACGACGTGTTATTGTAAATCATATTGATGAAATATGGAGTGCAGACCTTGTTGATATGCAAAATTATCTGCTTATGGTTACTGATGTGTTCAAATATGCTTGGATAAAACCTTTAAAAGACAAGAAAGGTGAAACTGAAACTAAAGCATTTAAGACCATCTTCAAAGAAGGGAGACAACCACAATGCGTGTGGGTTGATAAGGGTAAGGAGTTCTATAATAAACATCTTAAAGAGTTTTTAGATAAACATGATATAGCAATATACTCAACAGAAAATGAAGAAAACTCAAGCTTTGTTGAAAGATGGAACCGAACAATTAAACAGAGAATGTGGAAACAGTTCAAAGCTCGAGGCAACACAAAATAAGAAGAACAAAAGCAAACTATATGTCTAAAAATAATGGTATGGTGATATTTGTAATAACAGTCATGATTATAAACTTGGTGAACACATAAAAAAGTAAGAAGCATCAAAAAATACACAAAAATAATCTTATTTTAAAACGTTTTATTCAATTTTTAAAGCGGATTAAATAAGACATATAAAAATTATTTATTACAATATAGTACGATGAAAATTAACGAATCGAATAATATGTTGAATAAAAAAATATTTGAAGAATTGTCCTAGTCTCAATTAATAAAATTGTTGTTAGAAAAAATGTGAAACCAGAAAGACCCTAGGACCAATTCCAGCACCACGAAAAAGTGTCAAACAGATGTTGTAAGAATATAAAGATAATATTATTCCTCAATGCACCACTTGAATTTAGAGATGGATGGAAACCAACACCCAAACCAAGAACAATAAAAAATGTTGTATCAGTTACAGCATCAAGAACAAAAATTGAAGAAAAAAGTAAAGCTCACAAAGGATATACCAAATCATTTAAAATAACAATCAGAAATGATATAGATCCATTAAGCAAAACATGGAAACGAAAGCAGGAAAAGCAATTCAATACAGACTGACACAAGAAATGAAAGAAACGAAAGGTTTGAAATTTGTTGAGACCATCCACATCACATTTGAAAAGATGTCACAAGATGGTATATCAAATGAAACATCTTATTTCAACAATGCACCCAAAACTGTAATGAATGTTTTTGATTTAGAAGACGATCTTACAATTTTCACCAAGAGATTCAAACAAGATTACAACATGAATATCTCAGGGCTCTGGATGGACAATCAAATCTGTCAATGGACATTGGATAAATATTGTGCAATACAATGCTGTAAAAAGATCTTCACACATCAAACTTCCATCTGAATTGATAAATTGCGCAGAAGGATCGATCAACATTAAAACCAAAGACAATGAATGTTTTCGATGGTGTCACATGTTAAACCGCAAGATAAGGATCCTCAAAAAATTTTGAAAAAACTACAAGCATCATATATATTAATAAATTCTTGTACTTGTACTATATAAGTGTGTGTGTGTTGTTTTCCCTTTTTTTCTTCTTAATTTCTATTTTGTACGTAAACGTAAGAAATTCTTCAATAAAAAGAATAATAACAAAAAAATATATTAATATATATTAATAAATTAGATTATTCAAATATTGAATTTCCAGTATCTGTGAAGCAATACAACAAAATTGAAAAGCAGAACATCATCAAGTTTTATGTTGTTTATAAGTTACGCTTATGGACATTTCAAATCATTAGATCACACTAAAGTAGTCTCACCATCTTCGATAAACTTTTGTACCAAACTTTATTTTAAAATCTTATATAAAAAATGAACGACTTCCTTTTTATTCATTGAGGTAAATGCTCAGGATATAGGAAGTTGGACGTGACTTCACACAACCTACTATTTTCAAAATCAGAAGCAAGAACCATCAACTTGGTAGTTACGAACTAAATCAAGTTTCCTTTTCATGCTTTGATGATAAGTGATATTTACATGAAGATGGAATAATGAGGTACGCTTATGGACATTTGAAATGTTAGATCACTCTAAAGTAATTACACCATGTTTGATAAACTTTTGGAATAAACTTTACTTCAAAATCTTATATAAATCAAAGTGCTCTGTGAGCAAACTCGTGAACTGACAGATGACTTACATGATTTTTTTGGATTATATTTAATGTTATCTGGTCAGGGAATTTTGTGGTTGATTGTCATATTTAGAGTACCAGCAGTAATTCAGTGTTCGCTGATAATGTAGCAAAGAAACGTTGGGATAAGAAGGCATTACAATTGAAATGATCATGCTATTACATTTGACAGGGGTGGATGATGTCATGTGTTTTAAACATATATCATTTTTGTATATGCTTCAAAAGAAAAAGTTAGTAGTAAATGTGGGTGAAAGTGAAGTTTACTGTTTCTCATTGTAAATATTGAAAAATCAAGGCAATACTTTATTAACTGGACGCATAGCATTGTGTACTCAGGCTTTCGATATCGCACAGCTGAAGTTATCTTTAGGGGACTGCCATATTGCCATTATTATTGTCTTCACGCAATAACGTCATTGCCGGTCATGAAAAAGTCTACTTGTGTTTATTTTTGTCTGCTGGAGTGTAATGAATGTTGTTATCGTATTAGACAACAATCAAAATAATATATTACCATATAGGAGTAGGTTCCTACAGATGCCAAAGGTTGAAATTCAAGGAATTTTTAATGACTTGGAAGGCCAAGTTTTAGAAAATTGAAGGACCACTTTTGGAAAGGTTTGCATAAGCAATTTTAAAATTATGTAACATTATTTCTCAGCTTTTCCATGAAAGTACTGTAATTTCCAACTTGGAAATTGCTAAAGAAAACACATTGCAAAAATCAAGCCCTAGTCTTCAAATTCAAGTCCTTTCAAGGCCTTGAATTTTTATTTTTAAATAAAGGATTTTCAAGGATTTTCAAGGCTTTTACGAACCCTGAATAGCTAATTCATTTGCCTTTAACTGCAAGGAGAAGGGAATTTTTAATCTATTATTGGTACCGAGTCGTAGTTTGTTGCCAAATGTTCACCCAAGGAGAGTTGTAAGAAATCAGTAGATTGAAGCAATATTACTGTTCAATAGTTCATATTGTTTTTAATAGAAAAATCTCTGAAACCACCGCAACATTGTATAGCTAGATTGAGTGTTCTTGGTAGAGAATCAATTTTTGGAATTACGTATAACAAAACTGTAACAAAATGTTAGAGATGTTTCAATATTTGGTATCAATGCTGTGTTCTTTTCCTATGTATTGATCGGAAACAACGTCAAATGGGTCTAACCGAGGAATTATTCATAAGTTATTACATGAGGTTCAAAGTTCTCTCTTCAGTTTCTTGGATGATCAGTTCTTGTTAATATTTTGAATGACATTTTAACAGAATCTGACTCACATAAAACAAAGGTTGACATATATATGTTATCGTTGTCGCCAAGGGAAATATTCATGTTGGCGGTGATTTCGTCTCTTCATTCGATCTTCTTCTTTTGTAGGATAACAGAGAGAACTGTGGAATTGTCGTCATATTCCACCGTAAAGTTAACTGAAACAAACTTGAATACATTTGATTTCCAATATTCATTATTGACACGAGATCATTAGCAGAATTGATTCCTTGTTTGTTACTGCAAATCAAAGCGCATAAAGTCATTGCAACACATTGTTGTCCTGAATTTTGTCTAAATACCAACTCATTAGCTTGGCTGAATGGCGCAGGGGTTTTTCTCTATATCTGAACTCAGTTGAAATTTGCAATAGTTTGATACGTGTGTCTGACTCTTATAAAGACACATGGGTCTATTACAAGAAACATTGATAAATACCAACTTGCTCCAATATTCATTATTGACACGAGATCATTAGCAGAATTGATTCCTTGTTTGTTACTGTAAATCAAAGAGCATAAAGTCATTGCAACACATTGTTGTCCTGAATTTTGTCTAAATACCAACTCATTAGCTTGGCTCTATGGTGCAGGGGTTTTTCTCTATATCTGAACTCAGTTAAAATTTACCATAGTTTGATACGTGTGTCTGACTCTTATAAAGACACATGGGTCTATTACAAGAAACATTGATAAATACCGACTTGCTCTATGCTTCAACTTAATTATCCTTTGATATACCCTCACAGAACAATTCAACAAATACTACTTCTCATGTCGTGAAACTTCATTTAATATTACCCTCTTCGTATGAAGCCTACTAACATTCTTTGTAACTCTTCTAACCTTCACATAACGACGTAGCCAAGAGGACTTCGGTATGCTTGGACGAAAACACTCATAAACAAATTCCCTCGGTTTTCTGCCCTTTCTTCTGAGACGTTTCAGGGTAGCTTCTGGTATTCTACTGGGTTCTCGATCACGTCTAAATACACGATTGTGTTTACATGTAAACATAATATGAGATAGCTCATTTGATATAGCAGGTTTCGCTTGATATTTCTCGATAGAAGGTTCACTCGTAAAGGATCGCTCGTAAATTGATCTCTCGTAAAGTTCGCGGACCGAACCATTCCCAAAACGCTCCACAAGTCTTAGTGTGGGTCTACCGCGAACGGTGTGTGACTTTGTATGTATATTGAGCGTAGTAGCCATCGAATTTCTTCCACGTACATCAAGCAAGGAATTGTCCACAAAGGCAGCCATTGCTTTAAACCATGTGCTCTAGGGTTCATTCTACGCATGCGCTTACACTTCACGCAACCGTGGTGGAACCGCGTTTTGTAACTGAACGCAAAAAAAAACAATAGAATAAAACGAATTTATAACTCTGGCGTTTCCTTCGGAGAGCCCGAGTAAGGAAAACATTGATGACTCTCCGCCCGCCTAAATTTTGGTCATGTGCTAGGCAACATATAATCGAGAACAAGTAACATTTCATCCCAGGCCCATTTAACAATTTTGTGGTGTACAACTATCGCATTTGATTTGGTAAACTATCGCATTTGAGTTGGTTTGGCGAAAATATACCCCATAGGTTTTTGAACAACTTTAAAGTTGTGGCTATTCAAAATTCTCTTGATGGGTTTCGTAACACGCTGAATGTAGGGAATAACAGCAAAACCAGTCGCTGGTTCCCTTTCATCAAGAGCTTTACTCGATTCGAAGGCTGAGGAGAGGAAATATGTTTCCAATGTCCTAAAGGCAAATGGCTATACAAAAACCTGCCAAAAACCAGTTACAACCTAAGGATCCTGTCACGAAAGAACAACGAACCGACGCCATCTATTCTATTCCTTGCAATGACTGTGACAACGAATACATCGGACAGACCAAACGTCAGTTTGGTACACGTTTAAAAGAGCACCAAAAGGCGGTTTTCCTTTGCAAAAAGGAAAATTCAGCTTTATCGGAGCACATATGCCTAACTAACCATACAATTGGGTGGGATAATTCTAAAATTATCTCCACTAATTGGCGTTACCACCAGCGCCTTTGTTTGGAGACTTGGCATATTAACACCGCCCACGCTCCTTTAAATCGTGACGATGGCGGTTTGCTTCCTGACGCCTATTTACACCTCGTCAGAAAAAACGGCCGCTAATTAGTGATCATATAAAAGTACCTCTTGTTGCAGCGTTTAGATCACCCCTGATGAAGGCACTAGACAGGAGTGTCGAAACGTTGGGTCTATGAATTGAAACTGCTTCGGTTACATTCATTAAATCTGTAAACCAGAGTAGCATCAAACCATGTCTGAATATCGCTGTCATTACACACACGTAATAAAAATTCCAGCTGAACGACTGCGTGCAATTTTGCATAGAAAATCTGTGAATAGCTGAGCTTTCAAAATTTTCGGTACGGTCTTACGTATTCAAGGAGCTTTAAAAAACATGCACAGCAATTTATAGGTAAGTAGCAAACGTGCTTCATTTGCATAATGTTTACAGCCCGACGAGCGATTGAGCGACCACATTTTCCCATTACCCTCAATAACTCGTGTTACGCATCCGCAATTCACGAGTTTAAAATAAACAACTTCCTGTTCATTCATTGAGATAAATGCGTGGGATATAGGGAGTTGCGCGTGACTTCACACAACCTACTATATTCAAAATTAGAAGCAAGAACCATCAACTTGGTAGTTACGAACTAAATTAAGTGTTATTGTCACGCTTCGATGATAGGAGATAAATACATGAAGGTGGAATGATGAGTTACGCTTGACTATGCTATTACCACAAAACTATTGGATATTATATGTGGCCAGTAGAATAGTAGTTGGGTGGTTCTACCCAACTACAGTACTACCATTATGAATATGATCTGATTTTAGTTCACTCGAGCATGGAAGAAAATAAAGAGTTGTTTGGAACATAAAATGAAGAAGACCAGCAGTATGCGGTCGAAACGTCGCGATCTACATCACACGTGACAACATCGTGAGTCAAACGAAAAACTTAGCTTTTATTGTTATTCACCACGATGAATAACCACAACTTATCTTTACGAAAATATTTGGCACTTTTTCAAAAGAAGACGTCTTACTTAACATCATCATTATCATTATCTAAAGAAACAATTTTGAGAAATTAAACTATCCTGTAAGGCCTGCGTTCTGCAATACTTCTCGTCGCAGTTATACCAACACGCGTCATGAAATCTCCAGCCTTCGTTGTAGCAGTGCGATGCACAGATTGCTTCAAATGAAAAATAAGGGATCAAATTTCATCCCGCTTCCTGACCTCTTTGACGCAATTCATTCTTTTGAACAATTCATAATCACCATTAAGAAAGTATAAATATCTTCTCTTGTCACCGTGCAATGACAACATTTTAACGTTTTTTTTTCAACACACCAGAGAACTTTCTGAATGTCTTAATGAATTATCATCGTCATTATCATCATCTGAAGAAACAATTTTGAGAAATTATACTATCCTCAGTGTTAGGTTTGCGTTCTGCAATACTTTTCGTCGCAGTAATACCAACACGGGCCATGAAATGTTCGGCCTTGGTTGTAAGCAGTGCGATGCACAGATTACTTCAAATGAAAAATGAAGGGTCAAATTTCATCCTGCTTCCTGACCTCTTTGACGCAATTCATTCTTTTTAACAATGCATTATCACCATTAAGAAAGTATAAATATCTTCTCTTGTCACCGTGCAATAACAACATTTTAACGTTTTTTTTTTCACCACACCAGAGAACTTTCTCAATGTTTTAATGACTTACCATCGTCATTATCATCATCTGAAGAAACAATTTTGAGAAATTATACTATCCTGTTAGGTCTGCGTTCTGCAATACTTTTCGTCGCAGAAATACCAACACGGGCCAGGAAATGTTCAGCCTCTGTTGTAGCACCTCTGTTGTAGCAGTGCGATATACAGATTACTTCAAATGAAAAATGAAGTGTCAAATTTCTTCCCGGTTCCTGACCTCTTTGACGTAATTCAATCTTTTGAACAATTCATAATCACAATCAAGAAAGTATAAATATCTTCCCTTGTCACCGTGCAATGATAACATTTTAACATTCTCCCTTTCACCACAACAGAGAACTTTCTCAAGGATCATTAGCCTATTCGTAAGTATGGTGATTGTTACTTGAAATTAAATATTAGTTAAAGCGTTCGATTATTGTTTTCTAGTGTGCATTTCGAGGCTGGGATCGACTTGTAATTACAAATAAAGCATGCATTCGTTACATCCAGCTTTTAGTATCGGTTAATCGGTTAATTAACTGATGGAAATACCGATGGCTTTGGAGCGGGAGGCTCATAACAAAAAGTAAGCAAAATCGAGCGAATGAATTAATCAAATAATTGAATCAATTTGTTTTGCGTATTTAGGCTTATTCATATCTCTTATCTGTTACCTTTAACAACCCTATAAAAATTCTCGAAAAGTACGCAAGGTTTAAAGGTAGATTATTTCGTTAGATTTTGTTTTCTTTCAGTCCCCTTAGTCCTCTAAGTTTTTCTTTGTAATCTCTGGATTTAATGAAATAATCTGGAGAAAGGATGTAAAGATGTTATATCTGAAATGGTAGAGGTTACCCAGTTTGAAAAGTTGACTCAAAACTAAGAGTTACCATTTTTTGTTTGTTTTATTTTTCTCACCCTTAATTCCGTTTTAGGCCGTTGGTGTTTGCGGATGTGAACATGGAGATCGAGAAAAATCCTGAGAAAGGCATATCTTACCTGCAGCAATTTTCCTGCGGAGTGGGGCATGTGATTAATGATGTCACTCGCCGCTTGTTGCAGTCATTCCGAATGATTTTTCTCATGAGAGTTGTTGGCATCTCTGCAACCTATGCCGGCGTTATTACTCTCTACAGTTTCTTTGCCGGTGCATTATTATTTGCTCCAATGGCAGGTTTCTTATGTGATAAGGTTAAGATTCCGGTTTTGTCACGCAGGCTTGGAAAGAAAAAATCGTGGCATTTGTTTGGAACTATTGCAGCTACAATCGGTGTTCCGCTATTTTTCAGCCAATGTTTAGTTTGTGGTAGTGGAACCAGCGAGTGGGTGGTGTTGTTGTATTACTTTTCCATCGCCACCGTAATCTCATTTTCCATCAACTTCGTTGACATATCGCACCTGTCGATTATTCCGGTTTTGGCAAAGGATCAAAGTGAGGCCGCCAAACTTACTGCTTTGAGGTTCGTGAAACTCTTTCGATCGCTACACTTATATACTCATATCCATGTTAGGACTTGTTGATTATACTCGAAATGAGTAAAACAATGGTAGTAATAATGATAATAGTATTAATAATGATTAAAAATGATAGTAATCATAATGACAAGTATAAATATAGCGATAATGGTTCTATGAATCATGTGTGACTACCCGGTTTCGTCGGTATGTCTGTATTCGGGTCTAAAGTTTTCCCAAGATCTTACTTCGGACAAATCTTTTGTAGTTTTATCTTAGTCGAAGTTCATTTCCTTTCCGAAACAGTTACACTTAATAACTTACTAGTAAATCCTCAGGCCGTTCTTGTCTCTACAAAGTATTAACATTTTTCAAAGCTCACTCGCAGTTAACGTCTTATCAACAGAACGGGTTTCATTTACTTAACTGGCATCGTTTCCTACCTTGTGGCATGGCTAATTCTTGGACAAGATAGCCGTGATCAATTAACAAAAGAAAGCTCAATGGATTTCATGGTAATTAATAACATCCACATGATTCTAGTGCTGCCACTGACTATTACTATTCCACTGTTATTTCTTTGTCTATTTACTTTCTTCCTGTATAGCTTCCTATTCCTTCAGCTGAGACACAGAGTACCAAGGGGTATCCGAGGTTTCAGCTTGTGGTTGATGGGCTTATGTCCATTTAGGATTATCGCGTGAGACAACTTTATCTTTCTTGTGTCTATCACTGAACTCACTTAACTGCAGTTCTGATGTCTGTTCATCTACAGGTGATAACCCTGATCATGACAGGAGTCGGACTGGTTTGCTCTGCCATTTTCCATATTGGAACCAAAGAACCTTCAGACGATTCAGGGAAAAACAGGCGGTCTAGGGTAATTGGAGATTATATGGGAAATTTTAGAAGACTAGCATTCGAAACGTTGCGATCAGTAAAATTGTTTATTCTGGCTTTACATCATGAGAAAAAACGATGAAACGTTCATTTGTTTACTATAAGAAAAGAGACAGAGAAGGAACTACCTTTCTTGAATAACCACACATTAAATGGACATTTGTCCATCGTTTCCCTTTTAATAATATGAAAGAAAAAATTTGAGCACGCTCATTGGCTGAGAACACGACAATTTATCCCGAACAGTGCAAAAAGCTGAAATTAAATTGATTAACTGGTAAGTTGCGATAGCACATGAAAACAAAATGGCAGACAGGTCGAGAGAAAGTTGAACGTTTTAATTTAGGGTTTGAAGGAGAGTTCTAAGAACGAAACACCTAAGAAAGGACAAAGAATTGGCCAGAGATGTGGAAATCTTGGGCACCAAAAACGGTCGTAACGAAAGTATTGAGGAGGACAAACCGGAGGCATTATAGGGAGAATTCGTCCTGAGTTCACGCGACGGTTCGTAAAAAGAAAGACAGGGAATATTACGAGCGTGATAGCCTTCGTGTACAGATTACTGCTATTCAAGCCGTTTACTGATTACTGCTATCAAAGCGATACCCAAATTCTCGATTTTCGTGGCTTTAAGTTTAAAAGCTCGAAGCAGGCTCTTTCTGGAAAACCTCGACTTCTCTAGCAACAACGTCAAGGCAAGTGGCCAAACCAATCAGCCATGACACAAAATAAACACAACTAAAAGGAAAACAGAGTTAAATTTTTATCTTCGAAAAATTTGCGAGTGCTGATTTATTCCAAATTTCGCTCAAAAAATTACCGGAATTATGATTCCCCGTTATCATGACTATCTGTATGTCTACTGAATTTTTGAGAGAAGTGCGCGCTTTATTTAACAAACTATTAAACGATTGTAAACTCTGTTTTCATCTTTGATGATCTCATTTAATTGATGTACCGCTTACATTTGTTACAGAGAAAAACCTCCTTCATACAATCACCCGTTGACATACACTCATTGGTGTATTTTGACAGATGTGAGTTCTTATTCATCATTTTTAATACCGTGTAACAACTCGCTTGCTTTGTTTACAGCAATGTTTCCTTTCATTTTACTCCCAAAAACATTTTCTTTATTCCATAGCTTTTCACCTGTTATGTGATTTCTTTTTGTCATAATGTTTTTAAATTGATATATGACGCCGTTTCTGATTTTTTATTTCCCATAGATCAGCAGCGAAAGGAAAATGTTCGAGATAGAGTCATTCACAGTCGACGATTATTTGAAGAACAAACCGGTCCTGTTAGGGAAAGGAGTTTTTTCCAAAATTTTTTTGAGGCCATATTTGCTGGAGGTGAAACTAGGGAAGCTGCTGAAAATAAGACCTTAGATAAAGAAATTCATGATCCTGCACCGAATATGGCTGTTGTGCCAATGGCAGTCACAAGTGAAGACGACTTGGCGTTCGTTAAGACGTTGCCTAAAGAGCAAAAACTAAGCCTCATGATGAGCATCTTTGATAAACTCATGACAAAACAAGAAGATTCTACAAAAGAAAACGATGCAAAGCCAAGCAATGGCAGACTCGTAAATGATATAAGCGAAGAGGATGGCCAGGGAGTAATGGAAAATGGACAACAAAAGTCAGAAGTGTACAACCAAGTTCACAAACTGAACTCTGGTCTTGACAATCAAGGATTCGATACAAAAGAAACACAGCTTAACCAACATTCTCAAGATGTTAGCCAGGATGAGGGAAAAGCTGCGCCATCTGTTGCTTCTGATATTGAATCCGCTCAACCACCAAAACGAAAGGCAGTGAGAACCTGGCTCAAAGATCCTCATTTGTACAAGGTAACTTAATTTTGGGTACAGTGAAAAGGTCTTTGCCTAATTTCAATTTTTGTGTGCATGCATTTTGAACGCTCGTTTGTACTTGCAATGTAATCTTAAGTTTTCACACTAAAAAAAAATGAACATAATTGAGTAGTTTATTTTAAGAAATTCAAGCGAGTCTATTGCAAATGATCCAGGGAGAAATACACACCAGGAACCATATGATTTTTCTCTCCACCATTAAAATATGTTTGACAGATTATGACACCGACCATGAGATTTCAAAAGGTAACCTAACTTCTCGAAAATGGTCGATAAAGGTGCTGAAAAACCGATTCCAGTCCCGCTATGTTTGGCCTCTTACCTGTGACAAAAAAAAGTCTCAGTCTTCATGTTTTCCTTTTCATGGTGATTTCTTTGCACAATTAAAAGTTCAGAAAAATGCATATTTTAAATAAAAAAACAAAGTTCTTTTTTCTTGCAATAACCAATGTGGCAGCTATTTGTGAGCCTCGCGTTGCAATTTTGCGCAAGCGGCCAGGTTACTGAGTTGCTTTCAATTGACGGCATCCATAGTCTCCCGCCTCTTCGGAAGATAAAATTTGAACAGTAAGGATACTTTTTGGAATCTAAAAACGCCGTAAGTAAAACATTTCTATACACACAGGATTTCATAATGATGTAGTTCAAGAAAAAGTGGTTTCCGGAACATACTTCTCCGTCTTTATATTGTAGGAAAAACTTTAGTGCAGGTAATACGTCGTAAATTAGTATATTGTTATAAGTAAATTTATGGCACGGTTGGATGTGACCTTTGTACGAATGCAGATCACTTCTCTTATCTTACAGGTCGCAATTATTTACGCGTGTACAAAGGGTTCACAGGATGTGTTTTACGCCTACCTGCCTCTTCTCCTGACTGACAAACTGCAATTTGAAAAAGTATGTACCAGCAAACTTTTAAGGAATTGATTTCGTTGATTTATTTTTCTGGGCTTGAAAGATACTAAAAGTTGTACACGATCTTCTGCAATGGTTAAACAATTACCTGGTTACTCGTTCATTCTCGTTTCCTTTCTTCCTTCTTCACCGTCAATTAGCCAACTTTACAGTAAGACGGAAGGAGAGACAGACAGGCAGGCAGACAGACCGGTAGACAGATAGAAAGACAGACAGACAGACAGACAGACAGACAGACAAATAGACAGGCAGGCAGGCGGACAGGTAGAAACACACAACAGACAGACAGACAGGCAGAGAGGCAGAAAGATCATCATTTAATTTATTAAACATTTGAAAGAATTGAAATATGGAGTAGTTGTGCCAAATTACTGCTTAGGTTAGACTACGAGTAAAACACCCGGCCCCGAATCGCTTTCCTGTTAGCGTTCATACTTTACTGTTTATTGCCAAGAAACTTACTCTGTCAATGCCCCACTTTTACTAAGAGCAAAAAGTTACAAGGTAAGAACGACTTGATGCTGGTTTAGGCATTACCAAAGAGCGAAAAATAATCCTCATGATGACTACAAACCTCCTTCAGGTTTTAGGTTGTAATTTCTACAACCTCAGACGTTTGTGCTTTTTTTGAAGGAAGCGATTGCCAATCTGCCTTTGATATTGTTAATGAGCGCCACATTGTCCTCTCAAATATCAAGGAAGCTCTCTGGAAAAGTAGGAAAGAAGGTAATGAAAAGAAATAAAACTATTTTCAGGTAATTTTCTAATGTAAGCGATGATCGTGAACAAGATTGGAAGCTGATAACCGAATAGCAATTTAATTACCCTCTTTGTGTCTGGTCTCAAACGCCAACAAGCCGGAGCTGAATGAAATTCAAACGCTAAGCAGTTTGCGCAGCTGGATCTGACCACGACACAAAATAAATTGTTTTAAAATCCAAAAAACGTTCTTGCAAGGGCACGCGCAAGAATTCATCTGAGACAAGCATGCATTAGACAGTGTTTTTCGGTTCCAGCTAGTTAACAAGCGTTAAAGTTCTGTACAGTTTGTCCAATTGTTGTTTGTTTTGTTTTTTTTTCACGAAATCGAAAATGAGGCGATCGAGGCAACCCTCACTTAGACATACTGAACTCAATATTTCCTGCTCCACATGTTTGACTCAAGGATTAATTTCTAAAACTTCCAGCTTATCAAGAAGCTATTTGCATATTAACAAATGTTTTGCTGTGTGGTAGCAAACGGAGTGAGACGAGTGAATAAGCTTTGTAACTAAAGTCTGGCCAGAGGGGACAATTTTAGGGAAAATTTGTGAGTCATCCTGAAATTTTTGGAGGTAACCAGCTGTTTTTGCCTGATGTGGCTATATTTTTTCTATACCATAAATCCCTGAATTTAGCTGTAATTTTTTTCAAAAACCTTAACGTTACGTACCTATAGTGTCATATCGTAGTTTTACTTAAGCTTTTTTTTTTTATCATTACCGAGATCACATTGACTAGTATTTCTTAACCCACCTCAGGAAAGCTCAGATGGTTATTTTCCATATAAGGTTATTTGGTATATAGGCTGGTGACCAGCACCGAGATCAGAAAACTGGAATTCGAAAACGAGAATTTAATGATATATGTATTAGCTATCTGTTGAAGCTCCTCATCCTGTTTCAGTGGTCCTTCATTGTGGCTGCTCTGACCGTGACTGGGTCGTGTATGTGGTTTCTGCGTATTAACCAGTCATCGAGAGTGTTCACTTACCCGGCCGTCATTCTACTGGGGCTTGGGTCCTCCGCCATGCTTGTTAATGCCCTTGGTTTTGCAACAGAACTTATTGGAGACAACAAAGTAAGTTGGAGAACTCTTTATTTTGGCTATCATTTAAATTTTCATAGAACTTATGACAACTATACAAATCTAATTGTCCTATAATACTAAGATTGTAAGATCACGCTACGAAAAGTATATTTATTAATTAATATTTTTTTCACCTTTCTTCTGCTTTAAAACTAATCCTTTTTGTTAAATCAATTTTCCTGCAGGGCAGCTCTGGTTTTGTGATTTCTGTCGTAGGTGCCATCTCCAATCTGACCTCAGGAACTCTTTATATCGTCATACAAGTTTTATTTCCCGAAGGAAGGTAAATTTGGATTTTTTGTTTTCAGATAAGAATTATTTTCATCCCTGAAAAATATGAAGTGATTTTGAAACAAAATATGACTTCCCAGCCTGTTTATTCTCCTATTCTTCATTGTTCTTTGTTCTTCCGTAGTTTTTTCGGTGTTATACATGTTCTTCTTCTTGACTCTTTGTTCTTCTTGTTATTCAACGCTGCTGCTATTAGTCTTTTCTTCTGTTCATCCTTCGTCCTTACAGGGCTCCTTCCTCCATCCTGTTCAACAATAACTTCCACCAGAATTTTATGGTGCATAAAAAGCGTTCCAGGAGTATTAAAATCAGTGGGATATTCTCATGAAACAAAAGGAGGCGACAAAGGCTCAAGATAAATTTTGAGTAAACGAAGGGGAATTTTCATTCGAAAAAGTAACTACGCCCAAGGGCTATTCAGAAGAATTACTAAAGCAAAATAGATACTCAAGATGATAAATAGCTTTCATATAACTCGGGCATCGATGTCAATACCGTTATTAAAAAAGAGTTATTCTCTTTAGAAATATTTTCCAGAAGGTAAACATTTGGAATGCTTCGTTCTTTTTCCTAGTGCATCTGCCGATTGCCAAGAGTGTAGGAGTTACGTACAAAATGTGTTCTCATTGGTCCCTAGCTCACTCGCTATTTTTAGCTTGCTGATTGTAATAATATTTCAAGTTAATGAGACAATCCGCGGGAAAAAAGGTGAGATGAAGCTTTTAGGTGACTTAGAGGCGTGTTTGTACGTGTAGTTGTATATGGGTGAACTCCAAAGAATCGCGCAATAAAGGCTCACTTCCTGAAGAGAAGGAAGAAGAATTAAAAAAAAACATGCATAGTTAGAGTGTCAGCAACTGAGAAGCAGAACAATTCCAGACTCTTCCCTTTTTCCCTAGATTATGGGGATCGCTTTGTGCTCAAGTTTCTTTTCTTTTCTCAAAAGTGAAGATCTTATTTCAAAGGACTTCAATTACAATACTCTCCCTCTCTCCCTCTTCAAAATTAGAGTCACGGTCTAAGCTCGAAAGGCGGTTTCTTAAATCCTATAGACCCCAACCCCCCCCTCCCTTTCCACATTCCCGCCAAACTGTGCAATTAACACATTTGCGTTACACTCAAGTATGGTTTATCTTCAAGATAAGATAATGATAAAACCTTTAAAAAATCTAATTACACAAATGCTCGAGGCATAGCCAGAATCGTTAACTATTAATATCATTAATGATTAAAGGTTCAATTTTTTATTTCCTATTTTTTTACGCGGTACTAAACAGGAACCGAAAAGGAGACTGTAACAGACTCAGGCTTTTCAACCCATCTGTGATGTATTGTTAGAAGGAAATGACATGTCGAGAGCTGACTGGCTGAACTTGCTGGCATTTAATTACGTTTACCTCAGTTGTATTCCCTACAATACTGACAGTAACTTCAAGCTTGTGTTGTCATTCTCTTCTATTGCCTTAGTTACGAGTTTGGCGCTTGTAAAAGGATTGTCGCTATCGCAGACCGATTACCATATGATAAATTGTTTTACTAAAATTAGACAGATTTGAGCATTTTTCATTTAAAATGTTGTCTCGTGAAAAAGTTGTTATGCTATTTTTCACGGATAATCTCTGTTCTTTTAGATCTTTTTCTAGTATTGAAATATAACGAAATGCATTTTCTTGGTCACATTTTACATAATAAAGAGTGTCAATCACATGTTTGGTTGCCAAATGATTGTGTTTATAACATATCAAAATGTTGCTTTTGTGGAGGAACGGTTCCTTACTGTATTGTACCCGATCTAAACAAACCAGCAGACATGAGGTATTTTAAATTGCTGATAGATCAAGCATAAACATCACAACCATGTAACTGCGTTCTCGAGCAACCGAGATCTCAAAGTTTATGATATCGGATATTTTCTAAAAATAAGAGTAACTGTCATGAATCTATTCTTCAGAAAGAAATATGAGACTTACCGGTCAATACTTCTTGTAATATCACATAATATTCACAAAAAGGAGGGAATTTTTCCTAAGCAAGGAGAAATTTTTAAGTCAACGGATAATGAAAATCACGTCTTCACCAGCTTCAAGGGCGGTTTAAGATGAAGTTTGCCACAGGTACGCGATTGCAAAGTTTTGTTTTCGTGGCCTAAATTGAATCCAATATCAATAACGTCTCGATAATCTATTATATCTCTTTTGTACTGATAGTCTCAATGCCTTACATGGAAAGGGACTCGAATATTCTGGCCGGTTGACGTGTGAATGAAAGTGTCGTGGGAACTATTTATAAACTGAATGATTAACTGAAAAGTAATTTAATCGTTTATAAATACCTTCAATTATAATTCTAACGTAAAAAATATTTTCTGATAAACTTGACACCTATAGGCCTGTGAGAAAGAAATGAGTCTTCAACTTTGTTCCAATCCTCCAGTCTTTTGGAGTTTCCTTCTTTCGGCGTTCAAATGCGTTATTTAATCAAACATTGTCCATTGTTAACAAGATATGATATGATGATGAGAAAAAAGACACATTTAATTGCGATCGGCCGCCTTTTGTGTCTTGGCTGGTAAACTGAGGTGATTTTTCGGCAGAACTGTTATAATAACATTTTGTTTTAATGCCATGTACCGGTATGAAACAGAATTCATTTTCATCATAAGTGAACGATATTCTTATCAGAATGTCCGTCGAGAGACGATTAGGTCCTTCATTAAAATAAACCTGTTAAGCAATAGTGTAACAATAAATGTTCTGTGAAATACAAAATTGACAAATTTTTAGTCATGTTCAGCATCAATTAGTAAGTTTTCAATGCAGAAAAGTACATTATTTTGGTTAGTTTATCTTAATATTTTGGTCACCGAGATAAAGGCGCACTACCATACCAAGTACTACTTAAGCCCGGTCCTCACTAGCGACACAAGCATAAGCATGAGCATAAGAAGCTTATGCGCTAGTGAGGACAACCGCGACATTAGCATAAGCATAAGAATATCAAAACCTTGCGTTCTTCTTATGCTTAGGCTTATGCTTATGTCGTTGTTATTTCCAGTGAGGACACGGTTAGCATAAGCGTAAGCACAAGACTACTAACCAATCACTAAACACGGGGTCCCAGACCGCTCCCTCGGGAAACAAGATGGCGGGCAATGCAACAGTTACTAGCGACTAAATACAGGAATTGCTCCGATCTGTGATTGGATGATAAAAATAGTGAAAGTTAATAAGTTATATCTTAACTCCTTGTTCGTGAGTATTGATAACCGCGTGTCTCGAGGCGGAACAATGAAATATCAATGTGAAAACACCGATGTGTCAAACAAGAAATGGCTACTTACATAACGAAGAGAAGGCAGAGTCTATCTTGTTCAGCGAGTTCGTTCAGCGATATTCCGGCGATGAAAAAGTTATCCGCTGCCAAGCTCCGCTGACAAAACTCATTTAGTCAGTTTAGGCGGACGATCAGAGACTGGAGCCATTCCTGTATTTCACCGCTGACAGGAATGGCTCCAACTCGTGCGTATATTAATTTTTTCTCGTTGTGGCTAAATAATTTATGCAATGAGATAAAAAGTGAAAGAGCGATTTATTAGGTTCTTCTTATGTTGAAGTGAACGGTGCTTGCTAACGAAACCTTCTTTTATTAATACAGGGCCGTGTAGTTTCTAAGTTTCTAAATAATGCAGCAACTGAATGTCACGTTTGGAAAATCGCGCAATGTTGCGTGACACTGCGACCGATGTTTTTAATTTAATTTAATTTAATTTACGGTATACCCTGGTGGAGGCTTGGCCGAAATCGAGGGATTTTTTTTTCGTGGAGAACTGATTTTCTAGGTAATTGTTCACATGAAGGACAAATCCATTCATCGGGCTCTTCATCTTTTTTTGCACAACACCTGAAGGAAGAAAGTCGCGGATTAATTTTGCTTGGTAATTAAATTTGGTTTTTAAAGATTTGTAGTGGATATATTAGAGGGAGATAGACAGGATACAAATTGATTATTTGGTCTTACAGGAATTTAGTTAAATACAAGTAAAATGTAGCTCACCTGAAGTACAGCTCACGATCACCAAGTCGAAGTTCCAGTACAAGATTGTGAAATTCCCCACATCTTTTGCGATTACGAAAGATTTCTCGAATCCAAAACCTTTTAGGCTTTACATCACGTTTTTTCTGTCGTCTGCGCCGGCGTAAAGTAACAACAAGTGCAAGAAACAACAAGAAATCCTCTTCGTCCGCCATTTTGAATGGGTGTACTGGCGAGAGGGAATGGACACAAAAATACACTCTACGCATGCGTATGTGCTTATGCTTATGCCGCGGTTGTCCTCACTAGCGCATAAGCTTCTTACGCTTATGCTTATACTTATGCTTGCGTCGCTAGTGAGGACCGGGCTTTAATCGTAGACAAACTTAGATTGATAAACCAGAAAAATATTCTCAGATGAGAGTCCTTACTCCGTCGCGTTCAAACTATTAATTCCACTGGCATTCAGAGAACACCGTCATAACTAAATCACTGAAATTAGCTTGATCAGGCGCCCTTTTTATCGGGGAGTCAGTCAATTCGATCGAGAGCAATTGACTTTATTGATGCACTTTCCTGTAATAGGCGAGTGTTTGGGATGGAGAACGACGGATTTTGAAGAACTGTATGGCGACCTAGGTCAACGATCAATGACAAAAGAACTGGCTCGGGAAGTAAGTGGTTTTTATTTATCGAGTCCCTGTGAGGTTTGATGAATAGCAGAATCAGTACTGAATATGTCTCGATCGAGAGCAGACGGGACCATGAGCTTCTGCTCCTGATTGTTATATTTTAGAAATTTCACAAATTTCCATACAGTTTCTTATATTATTTGGACGCCATTATGGACGAAATACGCACGCGCGGCCGCCATCTTGTTCAATATTTCTGCCGATGTGTTTCGTAGGAATATCTAGTTTCCTTTCAAGTCTCGTTTTAATGATGCATAATCTCGAAATTGTGTGAGAAAGTGTTCCAGAAACATGCAAATCAAAGTAATGTTCTAATGAAACAACAAGAAAGTAACAAAGGCTCGAGAATTGATGAAGACTGACACTGACATGGTCAGCAATTTATTAAAACAAATTGAATGTCCATTTAACGTAAGTGTTACTTCTCAGTGATAGATTTCTATTTGGATAACTCAGTCATCGATATTAAGATACTCGTGCTCATACTTACTGGAAAGGGTGATTCTCATCATATTTATTTTTCTCAGCGTAAAAATTGAATTGAAATATTTTGCTCTCGTGCGTCTTCTGATTGCCAAGGGTGGGGAAATTACGTGCGACGTGCGTTCGCAGTTGTTCCCAGCTCAGTTGCTGCTAGAGATCATTTTTCAAGTTCATCAAACAGTCGGCGGGAAAAAATGTGAAATGCAGTTTTTTAGCAGACATTAGACGAGTTCGTGCACGTGGTGGTAAATGGGAATTGTAACAAGAAGGCTCAAATATCAAGAGTGTGGCCAGCTTTTTAGCGCTTCTAGCAACTAAAACGCAAAAGGTTGCGAATTGATCGAAATTTAGCAAAAGGTCGAGACGGTGCGAAATCCCAGGAAACTCTAATAATAAAAAAAGACGTTAAAAGCACCTTTTATAGGTGTGTAACATTGTAATCTACATCCTAACTAAGATGAATACCGTTCTCAGAACGGTCATTTTCTTGATAGTGAGCTCAGATATGCAAAAAATTCCAACCCAAATGTAATCAACATTAATGAAAAAAGAATGCAAATCTTGCTGTTTTTGAAAAATGTAAGAAGAATGCAAATCCTGTTTTTGAGCAGAGAGCATAAAAGCAAAATGAAAAAAGAATGCAAATCTTGCTCAGAAACTGAGATTAAACTCTTCTCTTATGATACTCTATCCTCCTAAGTCAAAAAACAATCGTAATTTGATTGGAAAAGAAAACATGGTCGATCCGAAAGTATTCGAAAGATTGGGACCATATGAATTCCTGTTTTTGAACAAAGAGAATAAAAGCAAAATGAAAAAAGAATGCAAATCTTGCTACATGAAGAGATTGCAATAGAAATGAACTAGTTCGAGCATTCTCTAAAATATAGAGTGGATACATTCATAACCGAAATACTGCTGTTTGTGATATAACTTCTACTGAAACTTGGCTGAGTATCAGCAGTGTCAATATTTCCGTTCAAAAATTTCGTTTGATGCATTGAAGTCAATTTGCCAATATATATTATGGAGGTTCATCAAAGCGAGTCCAGATTTTCGCTCGCATAACGCTGATGCTTTTCAAATTAATCTTCTTCCTTTTTAACTTCATATTCTGGCATTGTTTACTTTTGACATAAGGTGTTAGTGACGAGACGGGAAATACACAAGTACTCGAAGTAAAGCTCTTGAAACTTATTACAATCATGAAATATTCAGTGTTCTTGTTATTTTCTTTACAGAACAAGGACCAAGAAGGAAGGAGAATACAACCTAACTGTGATGAACTGCTGTAAGAAAATAACATATCTGTATATACGGGGTGGTTAAACTTGATGGCAATTATTGTTACATCTTTAATGTTTGTTTTTCATCGAAAGCAAATTCAATATTGTGTCATTATCACATATCTTGGATTGCTTGTGATTATAACGATTATAACACAGGGTATAAACCAAAACATTGATATTATTTTATTCTTTCAAGAAGCTATCGTAGCGTGCCGGTTTCATTGAGAACTTGAGCGACAGTATCAGTTTCAGATTAGCAGCAATCAGTCGCATGACCCCTTAAATTTAACAACACGCAGTAACATATGTATTAAGGCGTTTCTTGTAACGTTCGTTTACAGCATGTTTCAGTTGTCGTTCACTCCCATGGGAAGTTAAACTTGGGCACACGAATGTGTACATACGCTGTTCAGTGTTAGCTGTAACGTTGTCAATGCTTAGGGTTAAAATCCAATCAAAGATAGCAATCATTCTACAGATGGAATACATCACGATATTTCACCAATCTATCCCAGTCAATCCTGTTATGATGTACCTCAAACAAAACCTGACATTTAACTCTTCCCATATGATACTCAATCCTCCTGAGTCAAAAATACCATCGCAATTTGATTGGAAAAGAAAACATGGTCGATCCGAAATTATTCGAAAGATTGGGACCATATGAATTCCTGTTTTTGAACAAAGAGAATAAAAGCAAAATGAAGAATTTTGATGAAATATGTAATCATATTCTATCATGGAAAAATCATCTTGTGTGAGGGGGAAAAAAAAGCAAACTGGTAGTGAAAGGTATGAAACTAGGTAGTGAAAGGTATGAAAAGACCAAAAAACAACAGATTGATGTTAAAATGCACCTGTGCTTCTTGTGGTGCCATTAAAACCAAGTATGTCAAACAGGGAAACTAGAAGAGCCCTCACAAGCTGGGGGGGCAGATATTTTGATTCTGTAAAAAGCCATAGTGTAATGGTGTAGTTTGATCGTCCGGGTGAGTGTAGTCCTGAGAAGGACTGTTGTCGGTAGTGGTGACTGACGTTTCGACAACCTGAGCGGAAGTCGTCAAGTGATGATATTGATACTTGACTCTGATGATGACTTCCGCTCAGGTTGTCGAAACGTTAGTCACCACTACCGACAACAGTCCTTCTCAGGACTCCACTCACCCGGACGATCAAACTACACCATTACATGTTACCCCCGGGTTCAAACCATTTACTGTATTAAAAGCCATAGTCTTGGTGAAATAGCACTGAAAGCTGGTGTTAAAGCTTTGTATGATCTTGGTCGACTCGGTCCTTCGGATCAATATCAGTATATGGGCAACTGCCCACCTACCCCTCCCCTAACCCAACATTAACCCTAACTTGTTATCAATTGACTGTTATTGAGTTAGGGGAGGTGTGAGAGTTTATATTATACATCAAGTTTATATTGTTTATAAGTTATGCTTATGGACATAACAAATCATTAGATCACTCTTAAGTAATCTCACCATCTTCGATAAACTTTTGTAGCAAACTTTACTCTAATATCTTATATAAAAAATGAAAGACTTCCTGTTCATTCATTGAGGTAAATTTGTGGGATTTAGGAAGTTGGACGTGACTTCACTCAACCTAATTATTCAAAATCAGAACCAAGAACCATCAACTTGGTAGTTACGAACTAAATTAAGTTTCGTTGTCATGCTTCGCTGATAACAGATAGACATGAAAATGGAATAATGATTTATGCTTATAGACATTTCACATGTTAGATCACTCTAAAGTAATCTCACTATCTTAGATAAACTTTTGGAGTAAACTTTACTTTAAAATCTTATATTCAAAATCAAAAGCAAGAACCATTAATTTGTTAGTTTTAAAAGAACTAAAGTAGGTGTCACTGTCATGCTTCGATGATAAGAGAAGTTGGACGTGACTTCACACAACATGCTATATTAAAAAATGTGACTTCACAAAATGTGACTTCATCTAATATCTCATATCAAAACTTGACTATGCTATTACCAAAAAACTGTTAAATATTATATGGGGCCGGTAGAATAGTAGTTGGGTGGTTCAACGATAAGAGATATATACTTGAAGATGAAATAATGAGTTACACTTATGGACATTTCAAATGTTAGATCACTCTAAAGTAATCTCACCGTCTTCGATAAACTTTTGGAGTAAACTTTACTTTAAAATCTTATATAAGAAATGAACGACTTCCTGTTCATTCATTGGGGTAAATGCGTGGAATATAGGAAATTGGACGTGACTTCAAACAACCTACTTATTCAAAATCAAAAGCAAGAACCATCTATTGGTAGTTACGAACTAATTTAAGTTTCATTGTCATGCTTCGATGACAAGGGATAAGCATGAAGATGGAATAATAAGTTATGCTTATGGACATTTCAAATTTTAGGTTACTCTAAAGTAATCAGTCTCACCATCTTCGATAAACTTGTAGAGTAAACTTTAATTTAAAACCTTATATAAAAAATGAACGACTTCCTGTTCATTCATTGAGGTAAATGCGTTGGATATAGGAAGTTGGACGTGACCTCACACGACCTGCTTGTTCAAAATCAAAAACAAGAACCATCAACTTAGTAGTTACGAACTAAATTACGTGTCATTATCATGCTTCGATGATAAGAGCTAAACATGCAGATGGAATAATGAGTAACACTTATGGACATTTCAAATGTTAGAACACTCTAAAGTAATCTCACCATCTTCGATAAACTTTTGGAGTAAACTTTAATTTAAAATCTTATATAAAAAATGAACGACTTCCTGTTCATTCATTGAGGTAAATGCGTTGGATATAGGAGTTGGGCGTGACTTCACACAACCTTCTTATTCAAAATCAAAAGCAAGAACCATCAACTTGGTAGTTAAGAACTAAAGTAAGTGTCACTGTCATGCTTCGATGATAAGAGAAGTTGGACGTGGCTTCACACAACATACTATATCCAAAATTGTGACTTCACAAAATGTGACTTCATCCAATATCTCATATCAAAACTTGACTATGCTATTACCAAAAACTGTTGGATATTATATGGGGCCAGTAGAATAGTAGTTGGGTGGTTCTACCCCAACTAAAATACTACTCACTACTATTATGAATCTGATCTATCGCAACTGATTTTAGTGCACTCGAGCGTGGAAGAAAATAAAGAGTACTTGGCACTTTTTCAAAGAAGACGTCTTACCTAACATCGTCATCATCATCATCTGAAGAAACAATTTTGAGAAATTATACTATCATGTAAGGTCTGCGTTCTGCAATACTTTTCGTCGCAGTTATACCAACACGGGCCATGAAATTTTCAGCCTTTGTTGTAACAGTGCGATGCACAGATTATTTCAAATGAAAAATGAAGTGTCAAATTTCACCCTGCTTCTTGACCTGTTTGACGCAATTCAGTCTTTTGAACAATTCATAATCACCATTAAGAAAATATAGATATAGAGATTGTCACCGTGCAATGATAACATTTTAACATTCACCACCCTTTCACCACACCAGAGAACTTTCTCAAGGATCATTAGCCTATTTGTAAGTATAGTGATTGTTACTTGAAATTAAATATCAGTTAAAAGCGTTCGATTATTGTTTTCCAGTGTGCATTTTGAGGCTGGGATCATTTTGCGCGTCGTGTAGTTGTAAAGTAAGCATACACTCGTTACATCAAGCTTTTGATATCGGTAAGTATTCCCCTATGACCAGACATGCTACTGAACGTGGATAAAGATTTTAGAACTTTTTATTTTCGCTATCCTCTCAGCCAAGCAGCGACTTACAAAAAATATTATGCTTTGAAAACCAAAAATTCTGTGGCTTAACTGTCATGATAAAACTATGAGGTCTTCGAAAATTTGTTTCATCCCCGCTGATTGCCGAAATGATCAAAACTAAGAGTTTATTTTTTTTGTTTGTTATATTCCTTTATAGGCTGTTGGTGTTTGCGGATCTGAACATGGAGATCGAGAAAAATCCTGAGAGAGGCATATCTTACCTGCAGCAATTTTCCTGTGGAGTGGGGCATGTGATTAATGATGTCACTCGCCGCTTGTTGCAGTCATTCCGAATGATTTTTCTCATGAGAGTTGTTGGCATCTCTGCAACCAATGTCGGCTTGATTACTCTCTACAGTTTCTTTGCCGGTGCATTATTATTTGCTCCAACAGCAGGTTTTTTATGTGATAAGGTTAAGATTCCGGTTCTATCGCGCAGGCTTGGAAAGAAAAAATCGTGGCATTTGTTTGGAACTATTGCAGCTACAATCGGTGTTCCGCTACTTTTCAGCCAATGTTTAGTTTGTGGTAGTGGAACCAGCGAGTGGGTGGTGTTGTTGTATTACTTTTCCATCGCCACCGTAATCTCATTTTCCATCAACTTCGTTGACATATCGCACCTGTCTATTATTCCGGTTTTGGCAAAGGATCAAAGTGAGGCCGCTAAGCTTACTGCCTTGAGGTTCGTGAAACTCTTTCGATCGCTACACTTATATACTCATATCATGTTAGAACTAGTTGATTATACTCGAGCTTAAAGTCTTAATAAGCCTAAAAGTTAGATTAGGTCAAAAGGGGGGTGTTCCCCACGGACTGTAACTGGGGACTGGGACAAGTAACCAGACGTGACATACGTGTACTTTTATGACGTAGCATAAGGTACAATATTAAGGCATTTGCATCCTTACGATTATTTTTTTTACAACTTGGCTGTGAGCCAAATAAATTCAGGTGAGTTGCACAGCCCTCGTCACGATTGTTCTTAGTACTTAAAATGGTTTGGGTAAAACAGTTATAGTAATAATGATAATGATAACAGTAAGAATAATGATTAAATATGATAGTAATCATAATGACAAATATAAATATAACGAAAATGATTATATGTATCATGCGTGACTTCCCGGTTTCGTCGGTATGTCTGTACTCGGGTCTAAAGTTTTCCCAAGATCTTACTTCGGGCAAATCTTGTGTAGTTTTCTCTTAATCGAAGTTGATTTCCTTTCCGAAACAGTTACATTTAATAACTTATAAGTAAATCCTTAGGGCCGTTCTTGTCTCTACAAAGTGTTAACATTTTTCAAAGTTCACTTGCAGTTGACTTCTTATCAACAGAACGGGTTTCATGTACTTAACTGGCATCGTTTCCTACCTTGTGGCATGGCTAATTCTTGGACAAGATAGCCGCGATCAGTTGACAAAAGAAAGCTCAATGGATTTTACGGTAATTTATAACATCTAAATGATTCTAGTGCTGCCACTGACTATTACTATTCCACTGTTATTTCTTTCTCTACGTACTTTCTTCCTGTATAGCTTCCTATTCCTTCAGCTGAGACAGAGTACCAAGGGGTATTGGAGCTTTCAGCTTTTGGTTGATGGGCTGATGTCCATTTAGGGTTATCGTTTGAGACATAGAGAATGATACATGGGCGCGCGTAGATATGGAAACACAATAGCCCTTTACTGAAGAGAAAAGCCGACATCATTAATGAATGAAAATAAATGAATCGACGATCCCCAAATAACAATCGTAAAGTGCGTTGGCGCTCACTCTTAAGATGGAAAAATGCGTTGAATCATGATTACAAAATTCACCTCGACAACAACTCGACAAAACTCAACTCGACAACTCACTCGTTCGCTGCGCTAACTCGTGAGCTATCGAGTTGAACACTCGGAGAGAAATTCCATATTTACGCGCGCCCATGTATTATTCTCTATATCTTTCTTGTGTCTATCACTGAACTCACGTAACTGCATTTCTGATGTCTGTTCATCTACAGGTGATAACCCTGATCATGACAGGAGTGGGACTGATTTGCTCTGCCATTTTCTATTTTGGAACCAAAGAACCTTCAGACGATTCAGAGAAAAACAGGCGGTCTCGGGTAATTTCAGATTTATATGGTAAATTTTGGAAGACTAGCAGTCGAAACGTCGCGATCAGTAAAATTTTCTAGTCTGACTCTACATGATGAGAAAAACGATGAAACGTTCATTTGTCTACTTTAAAAAAGGAGACAGATAAGGGACTACCTTTCTTGAATAACCACACATTAAATGGACATGTGTCCATCTTTTCCCTTTCCGCTCATCGGCTGAGAACACGACAATTTATTCCTAACAGTGCAGAAAGTTGAAATTAAATTGATTTACTGGTAAGTCGCGATAGCACATGAAAACAAAATGGCAGACTGGTCGAGAGAAAGTTTTAAAAAGTTTTAATTTAGGGTTTGAAGGAGAGGTCTAAGAATGAAACACCCAAGAAAGGACAAACAATTGGGCACCAAAAACGGTCGTAAGGAAAGTATTGAAGAGGACAAACCGGAGGCCATAGGGAAAATTCGCCTGGAGTTCACGCGACAGTTCGTAAAGAGAAAGACGGGGAATATGACGAGCATGATAGCCTTCGTGTACTGATTACTGCTATTCAAGCCGTTTACTAATTACTTCTATTAAAGCGATACCTAACTGAGAAAGCAAGCAAATGCTCGATTTTCATGACTTTAAGTTTAAAAGCTCCAAGTAAACTCTTTCTGGAAAACCCCGACTTCTCTGGCAACAACGTAAAGACAAGCGGCCGAACCAGTCAGCCATGACACAAAATAAACACGACTAAAAAGAAAATAGAATTAAATTTTTACCTTTGAAAAATTTGCGAGTGTTGATTTATTCAAAATTTCACTAAAAATCATGTGCCAAACCATACTTTTCGAAGTCTTTATTTGCACGTAAATGTTAACGTTGGCCCAACGGGTACAATTTGAAAGAAATATTTGATCCTTACAAACGGAATTTGGAATCTTGCCATTGCATCGGAGAAGGGATTTTCCCACACCACAGAACTGACCCCCACTGTCACTATTACCCAGCTAACTGGAGTTATGATATCACGTTATCATGACTGTGTCTACTGAATTTTTGAGAGAAGTGCACGCTTTATTTAACGAACTATTAAATATTTGTAAACTCTGTTTTCATCTCTAGTGATCTCATTCAATTGATGTACCGCTTACATTTGTTGCAGAGAAAAACCTTCTTCATACCAGCACCCGTTGACTTACAGTCAGTGGTGTATTTTGAAAGATGTGAGTTCTTATTCGTTATTTATAAGACCGTGTAACAACTCACTTGTTTCGTTTTCAGCAAAGTTTCCTTTCATTTTACTCCCAAAAACATTTTCTTAATTCCAAAGCTTTTCGTCTGTTATGTGATTTCTCTTTGTCTTAATGTTTTTAAATTGATATATGACGCCGTTTCTGATTTTTTATTTCCCATAGATCAGCAGCGAAAGGAAAATGTTCGAGATAGAGTCATTCACAGTCGACGATTATTTGAAGAACAAACCGGTCCTGTTAGGGAAAGGAGTTTTTTCCAAAATTTTTTTGAGGCCATATTTGCAGGAAGTGAAACTAGGGAAGCTACTGAAAATAAGACCTTAGAAAAACAAATTCATGATCCTACGCCGAATATGGCTGTTGTACCGATGGCAGTCACAAGTGAGAACGACTTGGCGTTCGTTAAGACATTGCCTAAAGAGCGAAAAGTAAGCCTCATGATGAGCATCTTTGATAGACTCGTGACAAAACAAGAAGATTCTACAGAAGAAAACAACGCGAAGCCAAGCAATGGCAGACTCGTAAATGATATAAGCGAAGAGGATGGCCAGGTAGTAATGGAAAATGGACAACAAAAGTCAGAAGTGTACAACCAAGGTCACAAACTGAACTCTGGTGTTGACAATCAAGGATTCGATACTAACAATATTAGCCAGGATGAGGGAAAAGCTGTACCACCTGTTGCTTCTGATATTGAATCCGCTCAACTACCAAAACAAAAGGCAGCGGGAACCTGGCTTAAAGATCCTCATTTGTACAAGGTAACTTAATTTAGGGTACAGTGAAAAGGTCTTTGCCTAATTTCAATTTTCGCGTGCATATAATTCGAACGCTCTTATGTACCTACAATGTAATCTTCAGCTTTCACACTAAAAGATGAACATAATAAATAGTTTATTTTAAGAAATTCAAGCGAACCTATTGCAAATGATCTAGGGAGAAACACATAACCAGGAACCACATGGCTTTTCTCTCCTCCATTAAAATGTGTTTGACAGATTATGACACCGACCATGAGATTTCAAAAGGTAACCTAACTTTTCAAAAATTGTCTATAAAGGTGCTGAAAATCCGATTCGAGTCCCGCTATGTTTGGCCTCTTACCTGTGACGTGAAAAAGTCTCAGTCTTCATGTTTTCCTTTTCATGGCGATTTTTTTGCGTAGTTAAGAGTTCTGAAAAAGTGAATTTTTAAATAAAAAAAAAAGTTTGTTTTTTCTTGCAATAACCAATGTAGCAGCTATTCGAGAGCGTTACAGTTTTGCGCAAGCGGCCAGGTTGCTGAGTTGTTTTCAAACTGGCGGTATCCGTAGTCTCCCACCTCGGAAGATAAAAATTGAACAGTTAGGATACTCTTTGGAATCTAAAACCGCGGTGAGTAAAACATTACTATACTCACTGGATTTTCATAATTACTTAGTTTGTTTTATTTAAGGAAAAAATGGTTCACGGAACATACTTCTCGGTCATCATATTGTAAGAAACTTTAGTGTAGGTAATACATCGTAAATTAGTATATTGTCATAAGTAAATGGAACGGTTGGATGTGATTTTTGCACGAATGCAGATCACTTCTCTTATTTTACAGGTCGCAATTATTTACGCGTGCACAAAGGGTTCAGAGGATGTGTTTTACGCTTACCTGCCCTTACTCCTGACTGACAAACTGAAATTTGAAAAAGTATGTATCAGCAAACTTTTCAGGAATTTCTTTCGTTGATTTATTTTTCTGGGCTTGAAAGATACTAAAAGTTATACTCGATCTTCTGTAAGGGTTAACCAATTACCTGGTTACTCGTCTATTCTCGTTTCCTTTCTTCCTCCTTCGCCGTCAATCAGCCAACTTTACAGTAAGAGAGAAGGAGAGACAGAAAGGCAGGCCGACAGACCGGCGGACTGACAGGCAGACAGACAGACAAACAGACAGGCAGGCAGACTAACAGACAGGCAGGCGGACAGGTAGACACACACGACAGACAGATAGGTAGACAGGCAGAGAGACCATTATTTAATTTATTAAACATCCATTTTTAAGGAATTGAAATATGGAGTAGATGTACCAAATTACTGTTTAGGGTAGACTAAGAGTTAAAAATTCCGAATCGCTTTCCTGTTAGCTTTCATACACTACTGTTTTTGGCCAAGAAACTTACTCTGTCAATGCCCTACTTTTACTAAGAGCGGAAATTTACAAGGTAAGTACAACTTGATGCTGGTTTAGACGTTACTAAAAGAGCGAAAAATAACCCTCATGATGACTACCAAAGTTCTACCATAGGAAGACTGGTTCCTCTTATGGGGGAATTAAGTTACACGTATCCAATTGACAGAATGCTTCTTGATGACAGCAAAACAATCAATTCGACCCCCGAGAAAGCTTGTGATTTCTATAACCTCAGACGTTTATGCTTTTTCTGAAGGAAGCGATTGCCAATCTGCCATTGATATTGTTAGCGAGTGCCACATTGTCCACTCAAATATCAAGGAAGCTCTCTGGAAAAATAGGAGAAAAGGTAATGAAAAGAAAGAAAACTATTTTCAGGTAATTTTCAAATGTAAGCGATGATCGTGGACAAGATTGGAAGCTGATAACCGAATAGCACCCTCTTTGTGTCTGGTCTGAAACGCCAACAAGCCGGAGCTGAATGAAATTCAAACGCTAAGCAGTTTGCGCAGCTGGATCTGACTACGACACAAAATAAATTGATTTGAAATCCAAAAAACGTTCTCGCAAGGGCACGCACGAGAATTCATCTAAGACAAGCATTGGACAGTTGTCGGTTCCAACTAGTCAAAGCTTAGTCAACAAGCGTTAAAGTTGTGCACAGTTTGTTCAACTGATTTTTTGTTTTTTTTCACGGAACCGAAAATGAGGCGATCGAGACAACCCTTGCTTAGATTTACTGAACTCAATATTTCCAGCTCCAAATGTACAAACTATAGCCACAAACGCATTGAGACAATCTTTTGGTTCAAAGTTTAATTTCTAAAACTTCCAGCTTATCAAGAAGCTTTTGCATATTCACAAATGTTTTGCTGTGTGGTCGCGAACGGAGTGAGACGAGTGAATGAGCTTTTGCAACTACAGGTCTAGGCAGAGGGGACAATTTCTAGGAAAAATTTGTTAGTCATCCTGAAATTTTCAAGGTAACCAGCTGTTTTATTCTGTTGTGGCTATACTTTTTCTGTACCATAAATCCCTGAATTCAGCTGCAATTTTTTCAACAACGTTAACGTTACGTACTAATAGTGTCATATCGTAGTTTCATTTGAGCTTTTTTTATTGTTACCGAGATAATATTGACTAGTATTTCTTTTTACTTAATTTCTATTGCTCCGGAGAAGTGTTCTCTTGCAGCCAAAAGCAACTAAACCCAGCTCAGCAAAGCTTAGGTGATTATTTTCCGTATAAGGTTATTCGGTATATAAGCTGGTGACCAGCACCGAGTTAAGCAATCAGAAAACTGGAAACAATATTCGAAAGCGACAATTTAATGATATATATATATATATATCAGCTATCTGCTGAAGCTCCTCATCCTGTTTCAGTGGTCCTTTATTGTGGCTGCTCTGACCGTGACTGGATCGTGTTTGTGGTTTCTGTGTATTAACCAGTCATCGAGAGTGTTCACTTACCCGGCCGTCGTTCTACTGGGGTTTGGGTCCTCCGCCATGTTTGTTAACGCGCTTGGCTTTGCAACAGAACTCATTGGAGACAACAAAGTAAGTTGAAGAACTCTTTATTTTGGCTTTTATCTAAATTTTCATAAAACTTATGATAACTATACAAATCCAATTGTGCTTTAATACTAGGATTGTAAGATCACGCTGGGAAAAGTATATTAATTAATTAAGATTTTTTCACCTCTCTTCTGGTTTAAAACTAATCCATTTTCCTGATTCAATTTTTCTGCAGGGCAGCTCCGGTTTTGTGATTTCTGTCATTGGTATCATCTCCAATCTGACCACAGGAACTCTTTATATCGTCATACAAGTTTTATTTCCTGAAGGAAGGTAAATTTAGATTTTTTTGTTTTTAGATAAGAATTATTTTTATCCCTGTAAAATATGAAGTGATTTTTAAAACAAAATGTGACTTCCCAGCCTGTTTATTTTTCTTTTCTTCTTTGTTCTTTGTCCTTCCTTAATTTCTTTCTTCGTCCATTTTCTTTCGCGTTTCTAATTTTCTTTTCGGTGTTATACATGTTCTTCTTCTTGACTCTTTGATCCTCTTGTTATTCAACGCTGCTGCTATTGGTCTTTTCTTCTGTTCATCCTTCGTCCCTACCGGGCTCCTTCCTCCATCCTGTTCAACGATAAATTCTACCAGCATCTTATGGTGCATAAAATGCGTTCCAGGAGCATTAAAATCAATGGGATTTTCTCGCGAAACGAAAGGAGGCGACAAAGCCTCAAGATAAATTTTGAGTAAACGAAGATGGAATTTTCATTAAAAATAAGTAATTACGCCCAAGGGCTATTCAGGAGAATTACTAAAGCAAAATAAATATTCAAGATGATAAAATAACTTTTATAAAACTCAGGTATCGATGTCAATACAGTTATTAAAAAAGAGAGTTGTTCTTTTTAGAAATATTTTCCAAAGCGTAAACATTTCGAGTGCTTCGTTCTTTTTACTAGTGCATCTGCCGATTGCCAAGAGTGTGGGAGTTACGTACAAAACGTGTTCTCATTCGTGCCCAGCTCACTCGCTACTTTTAGCTTGCTGCTTCTAATAATTTTTCAAGTTCACCCAACAGTCTGCGGGAAAAAAGGTAAGATGCAGCTTTTTGGGTGACTTAAAGCCGTGTTTTTGCGTGTAGTTGAAGATGGATGAATTCCAAGCAATCATAAAACAAAGGCTCACTTCCTGAAGAAAAGGAAGAATTAAAAAAAAATGTAAAGGGGGTAAGTTTTTAATAGAAAAACCGCGGTACTGTGTCGGTGGGAGAGTATAACAAGGTAATTTAGTATTAGCAACTGAGTTGATAACGTAAATTGGCCATAGTAAAGAGTTTAAAGGCTGACGTTTCGAGCCTAATGCTCGGTTTATGGTTTATCTTTAAGATAAGATAATAGAAGGAGTTACATAAATGCTCGAGGCATAGCCAGAATTGTTAATTATCAATATCATTAATGATTAAAGATTCAATTTCAGATCTATTTCTTATTTTTTACCCAACACTAAAAAGGAACCGAAAAGGAGACTGGAACAGACTCAGGCTTTACAACTCATCTGTAATGTATTGTTAGAAGAAATAACATGTTGAGATGCTGGCTGGCTGAACTTGATGGCATTTAATTACGTTTACCTCATTTATATTCTCTATGATAATGACAGTAATTTCAATCTTGTGTTGTAGTTCTCTTTTATTTTCTCACTAATGAACTTGGCGCTTGTGAGCGGACTGTCAGTATCGCAGACCGATTATCTTCTAATAATTTTTTTTACTAAAAATGGACAGATTTAGGCATTTTTCATTGAAAATTTTGTCTCGTGAAAAAAAGTAGTCATGCTTTTTTTTTTTTTTTTTTTTTTTAGCACTGATACTCTCTGTTCTTTTAGACATTTTTCTGATACTGAAATACAACGAAATGCATTTTTTAGTCACAGTTTACATAATAAAGAGTTTCAATAACATGTTTGGTTGTCAAATTGTTTTGTTTACAACACTTCCAAACGTTGCTTTTGTAGGAGAACGGTTCAGTATTGCAGTGCACCCGATCTAAACAAACCAGCGCGCAGACACGAGGTATTTTAAATTGCTGACACAACAAGCATAAATATCGCAACCATGTAACTTCGTTCTCGAGCAACCGAGATCTTAAAGATTATGATATTGAATATTTTCTAAAAATAAGAGTAACTGTTATGGACCTATCCTTCAGATAGAAATATGAGGCTTACCGGTCAATTATTCTTTACTTCTTTTTTTGGTTAATTTATCTTAATATTTTGGGCACTGAGATAAAGGCGCCATACCATACCACGTACTACTTATTCGTAGACAAACTTAGAGTGGTGAACCGGAAAAAATATTCTCAGATGAGAGTCCTTACTCCGTCGCGTTCAAACTATTAATTCCACCAGCATTCAGAGAACACCGTCATAACTAAATCATTGAAATTAGCTTGACCCTTTTTATCGGGGAGTCCCCGTATCTTTTCATTATCGGCCACAAACATGGTAACTTTGAATTCCTACTTGATCCAACGATACAAGAAACTGAAACTAAAGCATTTAAGACCATTTTCAAAGAAGGGAGACAACCCCAATGCGTGTGGATTGATAAGGGTAAGGGGTTCTATAACAAACATCCTAAAGAGTTTTTAGATAAACATGATATAACAATATACTCAACAGAAAATGAAGAAAACTCAAATGTTGTCGAAAGATGGAACCGAACAATAGAACAGAGAATGTGGAAACAAAGCAAAGTTCGAGGCAACACAAAATAAGAAGAACAAAATAAAACTATTTGTCTAGAAAAGAATGGTAGAATGGTATTGTGACATTTAAAATAACAATCATGATTATAAACTTGGTGGACACATAAAAAAAGTAAGAAGCATCAAAAAAATCACGAAAATAATCTTATTTCAAAATGTTTTATTCAATTTTTAAAGCGGATTAAATAAGACATATAAAAATTATTTATTATAATATAGTATGATGAAAATTAAAGAATCGAATATGTTGAATAAAAAATATTTGAAGAATTGTCCTAATCTCAATTAATAAAATTATTGTTGAAACAAAATATGAAACCGGAAAGACCCTAGGACCAATTCCAGCACCACGAAAAAGTGTCAAACAGATGGTGCAAGAATATAAAGATAATATTATTCCTCCATGCACCACTTGAATTTAGAGATGGATGGAAACCAACACCCAAACCAAGAACAATAAAAAATGTTGTACCAGTTGCAGCATCAAGAACAAAAATAGAAGAAAAAAGTAAAGCTCTCAAAGGATATACTAAATCATTTGAAATAACAATCAGAAATGATACGGATCCATTAGACAAAACACAGAAACGGAAACAAGAAAAGCAATTCAATAAAGACTGACACAAGAAATGAAAGAAACGAAAGGTTTGAAATTTGTTGAGACCATACGCATCACATTTGAAAAGATGTCACGAGATGGTGTATCAAATGAAACAGCCTATTTCAACAGTGCACCCAAAACTGAAATGAATGTTTATGATTTGGAAGACGATCTTTTAATTTCCACCAAGAGATTCAAAACAAGATCACAACATGGATATCTCAGGGCTCTGGATGGACAATCAAATCTGTCAATGGACATTGGATAAATAGATTAGAAGTGTTTCAAATAGATCTAAGGTATAAAATTAAATGTAAGGTGGTATTCTCAGAATGTTGCCTTGATTCCCTCAGCACATGAAGTTCACATAATTATATTTTCTTCAAACCTTGACACTCATTTTTGCAAAATATTTATAGTTTGTATATATAGACCCACACATACTTTTTCAGACAGTCATCCTTCCAATTTTATAATATCAGTTATACTGTACGGGTTAAGTTTTGCCTCTTTTGGCTTTAGAGAGAAAAAAATGTGTAGAGTGAAATAAGGATGAGGAACTTGATTGTTATCAGGCTCCGTTTTGGACTCTGAATAAATTGTACCGCTAACATCATTGTGCATTAATAAACTTGATAAGAATCATTAAAGGAGTGCTGATCTTGTCTGGGAGAGGGAAATTGGACAAAATGCTTTGAGAACCTGCAGTAGAGCTGAGTCAAGGAAGTGAAATTTGACGAACAGCAATTAACCGTGCGGCGGTAAACGCGGGAAAATGCATCCCTTGCACGAATTCACCGTTACAGAAAATACCAGAAAATGCATGCTTTCGACTGGTTAATACCAGTGAATATAACGTTGGAATGCGCAAAATGGCTGTAAATGGCAGAATACATGTTGTTTTCCATAGATTAACCGTACAACAATAAAAGGTAAAACGCCTAAAAATGCGTTTTCACGAAATTTCTCGAATTCACCATTGCGGAAAAACGTTGGAAAATGCATGCTTTCGACTGGATAATTCTTGTGAACATTTCGTTCACCGGGCGTAAAATGGTTGCAAATAAAAGAAAACATGGCATTTTCTATGCGTTATACGAACTGCAAACTCTGGAAAATATTATGTTTTCCCGTATTTACACACATTAACCTTCCCGGAAAATGTGTGTTTTCAACCGTTAACTCCGGTGAATACGTTGTTGTTCACTCGGAAAATGCCAATGAACGAAAGGAAAACACGCTGTTTGCCATGTGTTAACCGAGCGGTTAACGCCGGAAAATGAATTGTTTACCTGCATTTACCGCGAAGGAAAACTACCGAATAATGGAACGAATACTGGGATTCACCGATGCGAAAACGCGCAGAAAACGTCGGATTTTCCGTAGGCAAAACACGGGTAAACGTTAGTAAATTGCCACGTTTTCTGTGAATTCAACCTTCGTTTTTCGTACGGTGAACGCTTGTTTTTTTGCCGTGTTTGATATAGCAGGTTTCGCTTGATATTTCTCGACAGAAGGTTCACTTGTAAAGGATCGCTCGTAAATTGATCTCTCGTAAAGTTTCGCGGACCGAACCGTTCCCAAAACGCTCCACAAGTATTAGTGTGGGTCTACCGCGAACGGTGTGTGACTTTGTATGTATATTGAGCGTAATAGGCATCGAATTTCTTTCGCGTACATCAAGAAAGGAATTGTCCACGAAGGCAGCCATTGCTTTAAACCATGTGCACTAGGGTTCATTCTACGCATGCGCGTGCACTTCACGCATACGCTGTAGTGGAACCGCGTTTTGTGACTGAAGGCAAAAAAACAATAGAAAAAAACGAATTTATAACACTGCCGTTTCCTTCGGAGAGCCCGAGTAATGAAAACATTGATGACTCTCCGCCTGTGTAGATTTTGGTCATGTGCTAGGCAACGTATAATCAAGAACAAGTAACATTTCATCCCAGGCCCATTTATCAATTTTGGGGTTTACAACTATCGCATTTGAGTTGGTAATATTTAGTTTGAATTTTCAATTGTCTTGAAACTTAAAAGAAAATTGAATTACAAAAAGAATTACAGACTAAACTACATCGCGGTGCAGTTCCGGTACAGTAAACGTTTTCTTTTCATTACATGCGTTGTTAATATCGTTGTCAAAAAAATATATTAAAATTCACACGGCAACCAGCTGGACAATCAGACATGGTTTGATGCTACTCTGGTTTACAGATTTAATGAATGTAACCGAAGAAGTTACAATTCATAGACCCAACGTTTCGACACTCCTGTCTAGTGCCTTCATCAGGGGTGATTTAAACGCTGCAACAAGAGGTCCTTTTATATGATCACTAATTAGCGGCCTTTTTTCTGACGAGGTGTAAATAGACGTCAGGAAGCAAACCGCCATCGTCACGATTTAAAGGAGCGTGGGCTGAGTTAAGATGCCAAGCCTCCAAACAAAGGCGCTGGTGGTAACGCCGATTAGTGGTGATAATTTTAGAATTATCCCACCCAATTATATGGTTGGTTAGGCATGCGTGCTCCGATAAAGCTGAATTTTCCTTTTTGCAAAGGAAAACCGCTTTTCAGTGCTCTTTTAAACGTGTACCAAACTGTCGTTTGGTCTGTCCGCTGTATTCGTTGTCACAGTCATTGCAAGGAATAGAATAAATGGCGTCAGTTCGTTGTTCTTTCGTGACAGGATCCCTAGGTTTGGCGAAAATATGCCCCAAAGTCTGAAAAGCTTTTTGAGCAACTTTAACGTTGTGGCTATTCAAATGTAAGGAATAACAGCAAAACCAGTCGCTGTTCTAAGGCTGAGGGGAGGAAATATGTTTCCAATGTCCTAAAGGCAATTGGCCATACAAAAACCTGCCAAAAACCAGTTACAACCCAAGGATCCTGAAACGTTGGGTCTATGAATTGTAACTTCTTCGGTTACATTCATTAAATCTGTAAACCAGAGAAGCATCAAACCTATTCTGAATATCGCTGTCATTACACACACGTAATAAAAATTCCAGCTGAACGACTGCGTGCAATTTTGCACAGAAAATCTGTGAATAGCTGAGCTTTCAAAATTTTCTGTACGGTCTTACGAATTCAAGGAGCTTTAAAAAACATGGACAGCAATTTATAGTAAGTAGCGCACGTGCCTCATTTGCAGCCCAATGAGCGATCGAGCGACCGCATTTTCCCGTTACCCTCAATAACTCGTGTTGCGCATGCGCAATTCAAATGCGTGGGATATAGGGAGTTGCGCGTGACTTCACACAACCTACTATGTTTAAAATTAGAAGCAAGAACCATCAACTTGGTACGTAGTTACGAACTAAATTTAGTGTCTTTGTCACGCTTCGATGATAAGAGATATATACATAAAGATGGAATGATGAGTTACGCTTATGGACATTCCAAATGTTAGATCACCTTAAAGTAATCTCACCATCATCGATAAACTTTGGAGTAAACTTTATTTTAAAAAGTTATATAAAATATGAACGACTTCCTGTTCATTCATCGTGGTAAATGCGTGAGATATAGGAAGTTGGACGTGAATTCACACAACATCTTATATCCAAAAATGGGACTTCACAAAATGTGACTTCATCCAATATCTCATATCAAAACTTGACTATGCTATTACCACAAAATTATTGGATATTATATGGGGCCAGTAGAATAGTAGTTGGGTGGTTCTACCCCAACTACAGTACTATCATTATGAATCTGATCTATCGCAACCGATTTTAGTTCACTCGAGCATGGAAAAAAATAAAGAGTGTTTGGCACATAAAATGAAGAAGACCAGCAGTATGCAGTCGAAACATCGCGATCTACATCACACGTGACAACATCGTGAGACAAACGAAAAACTTAGCTTTTATTGTTATTTACCACGATGAATAACCACAACTTGTTTTTACGAAAGTATTTGGCACTTTTTCAAAAGAAGACGTCTTACTTAACATCGACATTATCATTATCTAAAGAAACAATTTTGAGAAATTATACTATCCTGTAAGGTCTGCGTTTTGCAATACTTCTCGTCGCAGTTATACCAACACGGGCCATGAAATGTCCAACCTTCGTTCTAACAGTGCGATGCACAGATTACTTCAAATGAAAAATGAAGTGTCAAATCTCATCCCGCTTCCTGACCTCTTTGACGTAATTCATTCTTTTGAACAATTCATAATCACCATTAAGAAAGTATAAATATCTTCTCTTGTCACCGTGCAATGATACATTTTAACTTTTTTTTTTCACCACACCAGAGAATTTTCTCAATGTCTTTATGACTTAACATCGTCATTATCATCATCTGAAGAAACGATTTTGAGAAATTATACTATCCTCAGTGTTAGGTCTGCGTTCTGCAATACTTTTCGTCGCAGTCATACCAACACGGGTCATGAAATATTCAGCCTTTGTTGTAGCAGTGCAATGCACAGATTACTTCAAATGAAAAATGAAGTGTCAAATTTCATCCCGCTTCCTGACCTCTTTGACGTAATTCAATCTTTTCAACAATTCATAATCACCATCAAGAAAGTATAACTATCTTCTCTTGTCACCGTGCGATGATAACATTTTAACATTCTTCCTTTCACCACACCAGAGAACTTTCTCAAGGATCATTAGCCTATTCGTAAGTATGGTGATTTTTACTTGAAATTAAATATTAGTTAAAGCGTTCGATTATTGTTTTCTAGTGTGCATTTCGAGGCTGGGATCGACTTGTAATTTGAAAATTAAGCATGCATTCGTTAAATTTAGCTTTTGGTATCGGTTAATCGGAAAGGTTAATTAGCTGATGGAAATACCGATGGCTTTGGAGCGGGAGGCTCATAACAAAAAGTAGGCAAAATCGAGCGAATGAATTAATCAAATAATTGAATCAATTTGTTTCGCGTATTTAGGCTTATTCATATCTCTTATCTGTTATCTTTAACAACCCATAAAAATTCTCGAAACGTAGGCAAGGTTTAAGAGTAGATTATTTCGTGAGATTTTGTTTTCTTTCAGTCCCCTTGGCCCCCCTAAGTTTTACTTTGTGATTTCTGGATTTAATGAAATAATCTGGAGAAATGATGTCAAGATGTAATATCTGAAATGGTATAGGTTACCCAGTTTGAAAAGTTGACTCAAAACTAAGAGTTACTATTTTTTGTTTGTTTTTTTTTTCTCACCCTTGTTTCCGTTTTAGGCTGTTGGTGTTTGCGGATGTGAACATGGAGATCGAGAAAAATCCTGAGAGAGGCATGTCTTACCTGCAGCAATTTTCCTGCGGAGTGGGGCATGTGATTAATGATGTCACTCGCCGCTTGTTGCAGTCATTCCGAATGATTTTTCTCATGAGAGTCGTTGGCATCTCTGCAACCTATGCCGGCCTATTTACTCTCTACGGTTTCTTTGCCGGTGCATTATTATTTGCTCCAATGGCAGGTTTTTTATGTGATAAGGTTAAGATTCCGGTTCTGTCACGCAGGCTTGGAAAGAAAAAATCGTGGCATTTGTTTGGAACTATTGCAGCTACAATCGGTGTTCCGCTACTTTTCAGTCAATGTTTAGTTTGTGGCAGTGGAACCAGCGAGTGGGTGATGTTGTTGTATTACTTTTCCATTGCCACCGTAATCTCATTTTCCATCAACTTCGTTGACATATCGCACCTGTCGATTATTTTGGTTCTGGCAAAGGATCAAAGTGAGGCCGCCAAACTTACTGCTTTGAGGTTCGTGAAACTCTTTCGATCGCTACACTTATATACTCATATCCATGTTGGGACTTGTTGATTATACTCGAACTGAAAGTCTCAATAAGCCTAAAAGTCAGATTAGGTCAAAACGGGGGTGTTCCCCACGGACTGTGACTGGGGACTGGGACAAGTAACCAGGCCTGACATTCGTGTACTTTTGTGACGTAGCATAAGGTATAATGTCAAAGTATTTGCATCATTACGATTATTTTTTTACAACTTGGCTGTGAGCCAAATAAATCAGGTGAGTTGCACAGCCCTCGTCACGATTGTACTTAGTACTTAAAATGGTGTGGGTAAAACAATGATAGTAATAATGATAATAGTATTAATAATGATTAAAAATGATAGTAATCATAATGACAAATATAAATATAGCGATAATGGTTCTATGAATCATGTGTGACTACCCGGTTTCGTCGGTATGTCTGTATTCGGGTCTAAAGTTTTCCCAAGATCTTACTTCGGACAAATCTTGTGTAGTTTTATCTTAGTCGAAGTTCATTTCCTCTCCGAAACAGTTACACTTAATAACTTACAAGTAAATTCTCAAGCCGTTCTTGTCTCTACAAAAAGTTAACATTTTTCAAAGCTCACTCGCAGTTGACTTCTTATCAACAGAACGGGTTTCATGTACTTAACTGGCATCGTTTCCTACCTTGTGGCATGGCTTATTCTTGGACAAGATAGCCGTGATCAATTAACAAAAGAAAGCTCAATGGATTTTATGGTAATTAATAACATCCACATGATTCTAGTGCTGCCACTGACTATTACTATTCCACTGTTATTTCTCTCTCTACTCACTTTCTTCCTGTATAGCTTCCTATTCCTTCAACTGAGACACAGAGTACCAAGGGGTATCCGAGGTTTCAGCTTGTGGTTGATAGGCTTATGTCCATTTAGGGTTATCGCGTGAGATAACTTTATCTTTCTTGTGTTTATCACTGAACTCACTTAACTGCAGTTCTGATGTCTGTTCATCTACAGGTGATAACCCTGATCATGACAGGAGTCGGACTGATTTGCTCTGCCATTTTCTATTTTGGAACCAACGAACCTTCAGACGATTCAGGGAAAAACAGGCGGTCTAGGGTAATTGGAGATTATATGGTGAATTTTAGAAGACTAGCATTCGAAACGTTGCGATCAGTAAAATTGTTTAGTCTGACTCTACCTTATGAGAAAAACGATGAAACGTTCATTTGTCTACTTTAAGAAAAGAGACAGAGAAGGAACTACCTTTCTTGAATAACCACACATTAAATGGACATTTGTCAATCGTTCCCTTTTAATAAAATGCAAGCAAAAATTTGAGCACGCTCATTGGCTGAGAACACGACGATTTATCCCAATCAATGCAGAAAGTTGAAATTTAACTGATTTACTGGTAAGTCGCGATAGCATATGTGAACAAAATGGCAGATAGGTCGAGAGAAAGTTGAACGTTTTAAACGAGTTCTCGCGACGGTTCGTAAAAAGAAAGACAGGGAACATTACGAGCCTGATAGCCTTCGTGTACAGATTACTGCTATTCAAGCCGTTTACTGATTACTGCTATTCAAGCCGTTTACTGATTACTGCTATTAAAGCGATACCCAAATCCTCGATTTTCCTGACTTTAAGTTTAAAAGCTCGAAGCAGGCTCTTTCTGGAAAACCTCGACTTCTCTAGCGACAACGTCAAGGCAAGTGGCCAAACCAATCAGCCATGACACAAAATAAACACAACTAAAAGGAAAACAGAGTTAAATTTTTATCTTTGAAAAATTTGCGAGTGCTGATTTATTCCAAATTTCCCTCGAAATCATGTGCCTACCGAAGTCTTTATTTGCACGTAAATGTTAACGTTGGCCCAACGGGTACAATTTGAAACAAATATTTGATTTGGAGTCTTGCCACTGCATCGATATCGGAGAAGGGATTTTTCCACGGTACAGAACTAACCTCCACTAACACTATTACCCATCTTACCGGAATTATGATTCCCCGTTATCATGACTATGTCTACAGATTTTTTGAGAGAAGTGCGCGCTTTATTTAACTAACTATTAAACGATTGTAAACTCTGTTTTCATCTTTGATGATCTCATTTAATTGATGTACCGCTTACATATGTTGCAGAGAAAAACCTCCTTCATACAATCACCCGTTGACTTACATTCATTGGTGTATTTTGACAGATGTGAGTTCTTATTCATCATTTATAAGACCGTGTAACAACTCGCTTGCTTTGTTTACAGCAATGTTTCCTTTCATTTTACTCCCTAAAACATTTCTTTATTCCATAGCTTTTCACCTGTTATGTGATTTCTTTTTGTCTTAATGTTTTTAAATTGATATATGACGCCGTTTCTGATTTTTTATTTCCCATAGATCAGCAGCGAAAGGAAAATGTTCGAGATAGAGTCATTCAAAGTCGACGATTATTTGAAGAACAAGCCGGTCCTGTTAGGGAAAGGAGTTTTTTCCAAAATTTTTTCGAGGCCATATTTGCTGGAAGTGAAACTAGGGAAGCTGCTGAAAATAAGACCTTAGATAAGGAAATTCATGATCCTGCACCGAATATGGCTGTTGTGCCAATGGCAGTCACAAGTGAGAACGACTTGGCGTTCGTTAAGACGTTGCCTAAAGAGCGAAAACTAAGCCTCATGATGAGCATCTTTGATAAACTCATGACAAAACAAGAAGATTCTACAAAAGAAAACGATACGAAGCTAAGCAATGGCAGACTCGTAAATGATATAAGCAAAGAGGATGGCCAGGGAGTAATGGAAAATGGACAACAAAAGTCAGAGGTGTACAACCAAGGTCACAAACTGAACTCTGGTTTTGACAATCAAGGATTCGATACAAAAGAAACACAGCTTAACCAACATTCCCAAGATGTTAGCCAGGATGAGGGAAAAGCCGTGCCATCTGTTGCTTCTGATATTGAATCCGCTCAACCACCAAAACGAAAGGCAGTGAGAACCTGGCTCAAAGATCCTCATTTGTACAAGGTAACTTAATTTCGAGTACAATGAAAAAGTCTTTGCCTCATTTCAATTTTTGTGTGCATGTAATTTGAACTCTCGTATGTACTTGCAATGTAATCTTCAGCTTTCACACTAAAAAAATGAACATAATTAAGTAGTTTATTTTAAGAAATTTAAGCGAGCCTATTGCAAATGATCCAGGGAGAAATACACACCAGGAACCACATGATTTTTCTCTCCACCATTAAAATGTGTTTTACAGATTAAGACACCGACCATGAGATTTCAAAAGGTAACCTAACTTCTCGAAAATTGTCCGTAAAGGTGCTGAAAAACCGATTCCAGTCCCGCTATGTTTGGCCTCTTACCTGTGACGTGAAAAAGTCTCAGTCTTCATGTTTTCCTTTTCATGGCGATTTCTCTGCACAATTAAGAGTTCTGAAAAAATTATATTTTTAAATAAAAAAAGCAAAGTTTTTTTTCTTGCAATAACCAATGTAGCAGCTATTTGTGAGCCGCGTGTTGCAATTTTGAGCAAGCGGCCAGCTAACTGAGTTGCTTTCAATTGACGGCATCCATAGTCTCCTCGGAAGATAAAATTTGAACAGTTAGGTTACTTTTTGGAATCTAAAAATGTCTTGAGTAAAACATTTCTATACACACTGGATTCCATAATGGCGTAGTTAAAGACAAAGTGGTTTCCGGGACATACTTCTCCGTCTTTATATTGTAGGAAACTTTAGTGCAGGTAATACATCGTAAATTAGTATATTGTGACTTTTGTACGAATGCAGATCACTTCTCTTATTTTACAGGTCGCAATTATTTACGCGTGTACAAAGGGTTCAGAGGATGTGTTTTACGCCTACCTGCCACTTCTCCTGACTGACAAACTGCAATTTGAAAAAGTATGTACCAGCAAACTTTTAAGGAATTGATTTCGTTGATTAATTTTTCTGTGCTTGAAAGGTAGTAAAAGTTATACACGATCTTCGTTACTCGTCCATTCTCGTTTCCTTTCTTCCTTCTTTACCGTCAATTAGCCAACTTTACAGTAAGACGGAAGGAGAGACAGACAGATAGAAAGACAGACAGACAGACAGACAAACAGATAAGCAGGCAGGCGGACAGGTAGACACACACGACAGACAGATAGATAGGCAGACAGGCAGAAAGATCATTATTTAATTTATTAAATATTTGAAAGAATTGAAATATGGAGTAATTGTGCCAAATTACTACTTAGGTTAGACTAAGAGTAAACATCCCGAATCACCTTCCTGTTAGCGTTCATACTCTACTGTTTATAGCCAAGAAACTTACTCTGTCAATGCCCCACTTTTACTAAGAGCGGAAAGTTACAAGATAAGAACGACTTGATGCTGGTTTATGCATTACCAAAGAGCGAAAAAATAATCCTCATGATAACTACAAACCTCCTTCAGGTTTTAGGTTGTAATTTCTACAACCTCAGACGTTTGTACTTTTTTTGAAGGAAGCGATTGCCAATCTGCCATTGATATTGTTAGTGAGCGCCACATTGTCCACTCAGATAACAAGGAAGCTCTCTGGAAAAGTAGGAAAGAAGGTAATGAAAGAAAGAAAACTATTTTCAGGTAATTTTCTAATGTAAGCGATGATCGTGGACAAGATTGGAAGCTGATAACCGAATAGCAATTTAATTACCCTCTTTGTGTCTGGTCTTAAACGCCAACAAGCCGGAGCTGAATGAAATTCAAACGCTAAGCAGTTTGCGCAGCTGGATCTGACCACGGCACAAAATAAATTGATTTAAAATCCAAAAAACGTTCTTGCGAGGGCACGCGCAAGAATTTATCCGAGACAAGCATTGGACAGTGTTTTTCGGTTCCAGCTAGTTAACAAGCGTTAAAGTTCTTTACAGTTTGTCCAATTGTTGTTTGCTTGTTTTTTTCCACGAAACCGAAAATGAGGCGGTCGAGACGACCCTCACTTAGACATACTGAACTCAATATTTCCTGCTCCAAATGTACAAACTATATTTACAAACGCATTGAGACAATCGTTTGGTTCAAGGATTAATTTCTAAAACTTCCAGCTTATCAAGAAGCTTTTTGCATATTCACAAATGTTTGGCTGTGTGGCAGCAAACGGAGTGAGACGAGTGAATAAGCTTTTGTAACTAAAGGTCTAGCCAGAGGGGACAATTTCTAGGGAAAATTTGTGAGTCATCCTGAAATTTTTTAAGGTAACCAGTTGTTTTTGCCTGATGTGGCTATACTTTTTCTATACCATAAATCCCTGAATTTAGCTGTAATTTTTTCGAAAAACCTTAACGTTACGTACCTATAGTGTCATATCGTAGTTTTACTTAAGCTTTTTTTTATTATTACCGAGATCACATTGACTAGCATTTCTTGACCCAGCTCAGCAAAGCTTGGATGGTTATTTTCCATGTAAGGTTATTCGGTATATAAGTTGGTGACCAGCACCGAGATCAGAAAACTGGAATTCGAAAACGAGAATTTAATGATTCATGTATTAGCTATCTGTTGAAGCTCCTTATCCTGTTTCAGTGGTCCTTCATTGTGGCTGCTCTGACCGTGACTGGATCGTGTATGTGGTTTCTGCGTATTAACCAGTCATCGAGAGTGTTCACTTACCCGGCCGTCGTTCTACTGGGGTTCGGGTCCTCCGCCATGCTTGTTAATGCGCTAGGTTTTGCAACAGAACTTATTGGAGACAACAAAGTAAGTTGGAGAACTCTTTATTTTGGCTTTGATCTAAATTGTCATAGAACTTATGACAACTATACAAATCCAATTGTGCTATAATACTAAGATTGTAAGATCACGCTACGAAAAGTATATTTATTAGTTAAGATTTTTTTCACCTTTCTTCTGGTTTAAAACTTATCCTTTTTGTTAAATCAATTTTCCTGCAGGGCAGCTCTGGTTTTGTGATTTCTGTCGTAGGTACGATCTCCAGTCTGACCTCAGGAACTCTTTATATCGTCATACAAGTTTTATTTCCTGAAGGAAGGTAAATTTGGATTTTTTGTTTTAAAATAAGAATTATTTTCATCCCTGAAAAAAAATGAAGTGATTTTGAAACAAAATATTCCCAGACTGTTTATTCTTCTTTTCTTCGCTGTTCTTTGTTCTTCCTTAGTTTCTTTCTTCTTCCATTTTCTTTAGCATTTTTTTTTCGGTGTTATACATGTTCTTCTTCTTGATTCTTTGTTCTTCTTGTTATTCAACGCTGCTGCTATTAGTCTTTTCTTCTGATCATCCTTCGTCCTTACCGGGCTCCTTCCTCCATCCTGTTCAACAGTAGCTTCCACCAGCATTTTATAGTGCATTAAATGCGTTCCAGGAGTATTAAAATCAGTGGGATATTCTCGTGAAACAAAAGGAGGCTACAAAGGCTTAAGATAAATTTTGAGTAAACGAAGGGGAATTTTCATTCGAAAAAGTATTTACGCCCGAGGGCTATTCAGAAGAATTACCAAAGCAAAATAGATACTCAAGATGATAAATAGCTTTCATATAACTCAGGTATCGATGTCAATACAGTTATTAAAAAAGAGTTATTCTCTTTAGAAATATTTTCCAAAACGTAAACATTTGGAATGCTTCGTTCTTTTTCCTAGTGCATCTGCCGATTGCCAAGAGTGTAGGAGTTACGTACAAAATGTGTTCTCATTGGTGCCCAGCTCACTCGCTACTTTTAGCTTGCTGATTGTAATAATATTTCAAGTTAACGAGACAATCCGCGGGAAAAAAGGTGAGATGAAGCTTTTAGGTGACTTAGAGGCGTGTTTGTACGTGTAGTTGTATGCGGGTGAACTCTAAAGAATCGTGTAATAAAGGCTCACTTCCTGAAGAGAAGGAAGAAGAGTGAAACAAAACATGCATAGCTGGAGTGTCAGCAACTGAGAAGCAGAGCAATTCCAGACTTCTCCCTCTTCCCCTAGATTATGTGGATCCGCTTTGTACTCAAGTTCCTTTTCTTTTCTCAAACGTGAAGATCTTACTCCAAGGGATTTCAATTGCTATACTCCTCCTCTCTCCCTCTTCAAAATTAGAGTCACGGTTTAAGCTCCAAAAGGCGGTTTCTTAAATCCTAGAGACCCCCCCCCTCCCTTTCCACATTCCCGCCAAACTGTGCAATTAACACATTTGCGTTACACTCAAGTATGGTTTATCTTCAAGATAAGATAATGATAAAACCTTTTAAAAAATGAATTACACAAATGCTCGAGGCATAGCCAGAATCGTTAACTATTAATATCATTGATGATTAAAGGTTCAATTTTTTATTTCCTATTTTTTTTACGCTTTACTAAACAGGAACCGAAAAGGAGATTGTAACAGACTCAGGCTTTTCAACCCATCTGTAATGTATTGTTAGAAGGAAATAATATGTCGAGAGGCTGGCTAGCTGAACTTGGTGGCATTTAATTACGTTTACCTCATTTGTATTCCCTACAGTAGTGACAGTAACTTCAAGCTTGTGTTATAGTTCTCTTCTATTGCCTTAGTTATGGATTTGGCGCTTGTAAAAGGATTGTCGGTATCGGAGACCGATTACCTTATGATAAATTGTTTTACTCAAAATAGACAGATTTGAGCATTTTTCATTTAAAATTTCGTGTCGTGAAAAAAAGTAGTTATGCTATTTTTCATACTGATACTCTCTGTTCTTTTGGATATTTTTCTAATATTGAAATACGACGAAATGCATTTTTTTTGTCACATTTTACATAATAAAGAGTTTCAGTAACATGTTTGGTTGCCAAATGATTGTGTTTATAACATATCAAAATGTTGCTTTTGTGGAAGAACGGTTCCTTACTGGGTTGCATACGATCTAAAAAATAGGTCCGCAATGCGTACTTGTGTGGGATTTCATTGACAAAGTGTTTGCAAGGGGTTTTTGAGCGGAAGCAAACCTGTCGCTCACCGTGAGTCAACTGTACTACAGGGGTGATATTAGGCCTGGAATCAACAGCCTGAATAGTAATCTTTGTGCGTGAATTATTTGAACAAATACAGATTCACAGGAGAGATCTGGGGTATTAACTTATACTTTTATCAAGCAATATGCCTTTCCCTCCCTCCCTGGAAGCTTTTTGGCGTGTTTTTGAACGTTTGGTAATCGTCTTCAACAAATAAATTACCTCTTGGTGGCTTAGGCTATTTATTTGTTTATACGGCAATACTGCAAATACTTGGAGCAGTAAATATTTTCGTAACAGTCATTGAAAAAAATTGAAAAAATTTCTGCTACTACTGTTTAACTCGTGGATATACGATAGCGGAGAAACGAGTTCTTTTGGGCGCTCTGCGATATGCAAATTAGCGTGGACTCTTCGTAATTAGTCGGCTTCGAACTCGAGATCTATCCTTCCGAAGAAGTAAGTCCAAAGTCCTGGCGCTATTATGATTGCACTGATCGTTGCGATATTTATTGTCTTTACAGGCCTGTTTCGACATTTACTATATTGAAATGGACTTCAAATGTTTCAGACTAGTGCTATGATCAACTTAAAAACCAAATTTGAAGGGTCTTCGAATCGTCCATGCGCTAAACATAACGAGGACCAGCGAGAATCACGAAGACTTTGTGAGTGACAGCAAGCTGTTGACACAGAAATTCCCACGGAAACATGTACCCATGACATTAAAGAAAATGGTAATTTGCAGCATTATTTCTTTCTACGCCAATTTGGGTCTTTCCGTTGTAATCGTTTCGTTTTGTTATTCTTCTATGCAAACGTGACTGTTTTGATGGTAAGAATGAAAGATGATCGCTTTCAAGAAGTCGTTGCCGAGCACGTGAATATAATCTGGCCGGTGTTGTTCTGATCACTTGACGATCTTTTTCGCTGAAAATACAGGACGACTTCCTATTTCAAGGAATGCTTTTCCAATTAATTTCTATCGCATCGGTGTAAAAAAGTACAGGTATATGGGTGTTCTGAAAAACAAAAGGGAAATTCAAAACTACGAGAAATTGCGAGTAATCGGCCTCTTCTACTACACGCGGGTTTTTTTGGTGTAACATGCGTGTGTTTCCCATAAGTTACAAGCACTTTACGCACGTGGGAATGCTGCAATCACGAATTTTAGATTACGTGAAAGTCACGCATGTGGTTGTTTGCTCACTTCACTAATATGTTTGTTTGCTTGTTGTTGTTTTTTTTTGGTATCCTGGAGTATTTCAGGAGGGGTTGCGGCAGACTTAACTGTGGAATAATTGTTTAATGCAGGGTTGTCAATAAAGGTTGCAGTTAGAAATTAGCCAAGATGCTAAAGGAGCTGCCTTGAAATTTCAAGACTGTGTGTTATGTAGTTTATTTTTGTCTTTTGTAAATGGTTGTTAAACTGGACAACTCTTAGAAAGATGACTTCAAACTTAATTTTAAAAGGCCTGTTCTGGTACCAAATGAATAAGCAGCATTTCCTTATTAATAGTTTTGCGAGTTTCTCATTACAAATTCCTCTGAAAAAAGGGAAACAACTCTTTTCATAACTATTTACTGCTTTCTTTTGTTGCTCTCTTAACTTAAAAACAATGTACATCATGATAAAGTAATTTGTTAGAGGACACCGTGAAATGAGGCCCAAACAGCTTTATGATCTGTGAAATATGTTGCTAAAACATCTGCTTGTATATCAATGTTAGATATATTTGTATATATATGATCAATTACTGTGTTGTTGTCAGTTGTATAAGTTGATATGAACTGTTTGTAATGGTTACCCCTCACTAGTAAATTATACAAAGGTCTTCTGTCTGTTTCAACAAGCCAATTTATATTAAAGTCTCCAGTAATGTTATTGTTGTCTGGTGAAATGTTAATTAATACCTCAGTTATTGCTTCATAAAGTTGTCTTACGGGCACGTTTGGGGAGTGATATATCCCTATGATTATTCAATCCTAAAGACTTGCAAACTTAATTACTGTTATTTCAACACCATGTATATTGTGACAATAGGGGTATCCAGGTAAGTATGGGATTTTACTGTACACAGCTGTACCGCCATAAGACCTTGATCCATTGCTGGAATTAAGGTTATCATTATGGAAGAGAACATAACCAGCAATGTCATACATGTCATTATTATCTTGAGAATTAAATCTTGTTTCTGTGAAAATATTGATATCAGCACTTAGATAAATTAAGTCTTTACGTATATCTTCTATGTGTTTGTGAAGAGACCTTACATTAAGATAACACAGTTTAAGAAGGGAAAATGTTATGTCATGGAGAGGGAGATGCAAAGCTTAAGTTTTGCAGTTGTTCTTAATCTCTCCATCTGGATTAACAGCAATCTTGCTTTCACACAAATCAGAAATATATAGGCCTTCTATAGCAGTCACTCTACTGAGTCCCACATAATGTATGTGTGGAATAGTATTTCTGGTACTAAAATCCACAACAATTCTACTGTCAGTATCACCTTGTGACCTGTGAATTGTTTTTGCTGCTGCGGGACGCAGTGGAAATTGTTTTCTAACAACTTGTGCTGTTCTGTTTCTACCTACTGCAACTGTGTAGTCACAGGGTTTACTGGGGTCCATGTGTTCAATTCCTTGTACATACAAATGTCTTTTTTCATTCCTTGTTTTCTGAAACATCTGAGTGGTCAAATTGTACCCATACAATACCAGATGGTTTGGTTTGTTGATGTAACTGAACTAGTTTAACAACATTTCCAGCACCATTTGTCATGCCATCTTCGGTTCGTACATTCATGACAAGGTGTGTTCTTTCACCCTCAGCAAGACAAAGGGTTGAGGCTAACTGTTTTGTTTTTCTTGGATCATTGGGTATTTGTCTTAGTATTTTGTTTCTTAGCTCTGGAGAGATAGCTCCAATAACACTATCTAGAGCATTTATTGTGAATTTGTTTCCTGTGGCTGCATTATGGGCCCTTTGATTAAATTCATCTACTTTAGCATTCTGTATAAATAAGTGAGGTGCATCTATTGGGTTGTTGATGTCTTCTTGTATAGCTCTCTTTAAGTTTTGCAATGTCAGCTACTGTGTGTTTACCTTTACGCAACCTATTAAGTAATTCCAAAAACAATTTGCTGTCTCTTTGACCCATGATTTACCTTCAAACATTTTAAAGTGTTTATGCCATAAACTGGGAGAAAGAACAGCATAAATCTACATTTTTGAGGTCTTTGATAATATAAGCATCCATAACAGATTCTAATTGGAATAAGTCACCAATAGCAATTATGCTCACACCTCCAAAATCCTCTCTACAGCCTTTTATATCTTTAAGCCTATTGTTTAGCTGTATTGCAAATTACCATTACCATTTCCTACCATTGAGATTTCATCAACAAAAATCAATTGACTTCTCAAAATGTTTAGTCTACTTGAATCAAGCTGTTTGTAATGTCTCAGTGATTGATTGGCAGGAATGGCCAGAGTGCTATGAAGAGTGTTACCCTTAAGCTTTACCAGTTGGAGCTAATAGTATAACTTTGATCTGATGAAAATCATCACCTGCTCTAGTGTTATAATACTTAAGCACTGCCTGATACAAATCTTTTGTTAAATGCGATTTGCCAACACCAGCCCCTCCACTGAGGAAGCAGTAGAAAGGGGTTTCTGAGGTTTTAATCTGATGTAAAATGTGATAAAAAATTCTTTTTGCTCTTTATCGGGTGTCTGGACCATTTGACGAAAATCGAAATCAGGTAATTCATTCAATATCAGTGGTTCATTATTCAGCGATGTTGATGGAATGTTGAGATCATCAGAGAGGTCATAGTTTTCACTTAAATCAGGATGTAAATCTTCACGAGATCCAATCCTTGAACAGAATTGGTCAATGGAGATCCCTATATTTACTTGTGTGCTTGAGCGAGCAACAACAACAATCCAACTAACTAGAAACTCAGTTTATTAAAATAGATAACACTCTTGACAGTTCAAGGCAAACAATAGTTTCTTTCAGTTTGTGACACTTTGAGACACTCGTGAGACATTTTGAGACACTCGTGAGACACTTTGAGACACCCTGAGACTCTTTGAAGCGCAACCCGCACAAATACATTCAAGCCGACAAATGTTGGCTTGCGAGAGTACAATGACTCCTTTCAATCTGGCACAACCCGCACCGAAGGTCCAAGCCGATAAATGTTGGCTTGTGAAAGCGTAAAAGCTCCTGTGCAACCTGCACTGAACACAAGCCGCGTTTCAGCGTGTTGGCTTACGTGAAAAAATCTTCTGTTATAGACACCTGAAGAAATAACGAAACAAACGCCTCAGATTATGAAAGAAAGAACACAAACCAGGTGTACAAACGTAATCGCCTTTCGTGAGAGCTTAATCGTGAAGCTCCCACAACAAAATTGAAAAGTTAAAGTACGCAAAGAACCCGTGAAAATATGAAATGACTTATCCTTACCTTGGAAACGAAAATCCCCAAGAAACAAATATGAAATTCCGAATAAGTTCTCCAAAACCCAACGACTGAGAAGAGAAATGGCCGCCGTACAATACACTATGAAAAAAGGCTGACTGGAATCCAGTCTTCACGGCTCACTGAACGCAAATAGAAACCACGTGACAAGCACTTCTCTCTCGTGGACAAATAAATAAAGAAAGAAAGAAATAAAGAAATAAATTTCGCGGGCCTTGACTAAGTGTGGGAAATCCCACACAACAAACCAGCAGACATGAGTCATTTTAAATTGCTGATAGGTCAAGCATAAATATTACAACCATGTAACTGCGTTCTCGAGCAACCGAGATCTCAAAGTTTATGATATTGTATATTTTCTAAAAAAAGGAGTAACTGCTATGAATATATTCTTCAAAAAGAAATATGAGGCTAACCGGTCAATACTTCTTGTAATATCACGAGTAGCAAAATATTCACAAAATGAGGGAATTGTTGCTAAACAAGGAGAAAATTGTCAAGTCAAAGGAAAATAAAATTCGTGTTTTCGCCAGCTTCATGGGCAGTTTACGATAAAGTTTGCCACAGGTACGCAAAATCCACTTTTCATTTGCAAAGCTTTGTTTTCGTGGCCTAAATTGAATCCGATATCAGTAACTTCATGATAATCTATTAAATCTCTTTTGTATTAATGGTCTCAATGCTTTACATGGAAAGGGACTCGAATATTCTGGCCAGTTGACGTGCAAATGAAAGTGCCATGGGAACTATTTATAAACTGAATGATTAACTGCAAAACTATTTTAAACATTCATAAATACATTTATATATAATTCTAACATAAAAAATATCCGCATTCCGTTTTAGAAACGCTCATTTTGTGATACACTTGCCACGTAGGCCTGTGAGATTTTATCAAAGAAAAAAGTAAGTCATCAACTGAGTTCCAATTGCCCGATCTTTCGGAGTTTCCTTCTTTCAGCTCGCAAATGCATTATTTAATCAAACGTTGTCTATTTTTAACAACCTATGAGGTGTTATTTCATAATATCAACTGATATGCACGCATCTGAACCGCGGTAACTTAATAATAATGCACAACTGACCTGAAAATGATAGTAATGACGAAAAAAAAGATACATTTAATTGCGATCGGCCACCTTTTGTGTCTTGGCCGGTAAACTAAGGTGATTTTTCAGCAGAACTGTTATAATAATATTTTGTTTTAATGCCATGCACCGGTACGAAACAGAATTTATTTTCATTATAAGTGAACGATATTCTTTTGAGAATGTCCGTCGAGGGACGATTAGGTCCTTCATTAAAATAAACCTGTTAAGCAACAGTGTAACAATAAATGTTCTGTGAAATACAAAACTGACAAATTGTTAGTCATATTCAGCATCAACTAGTAAGTTTTTATTGCAAAAAATACATTCTTTTTGGCTAATTTATCTTAATATTTTGGGCACTGAGACAAAGGCACAATACCGTACCACGAAGTACTTACTCGTAGACAAACTTAGATTTGTAAACCAGAAAAAAATTAATGGATAAGAGTACAACGAAAACGATCCCTGAGGGAGAAATGCCATCCTGTTTAGGCTTTGCAGAAATTTAAGCGACATAGCTTCAGCAACACCAAACAAATGAAAAATAGGGTGAATGAATAAATTTTTGATATAAATGATAAATAAGGGGCGATGTCGTAAAAACAAGAGCCAAACTGATTTAACAGAGCAAGACCCAACTTGCTTTGTAGCTTTCTTTAGAAAAGTGTAAATCCTCTTTACTAGATCGAATTGAAGCTCGGCATACCAAACTAATTGACGAATATAGTAGTCAGCTACCAAGACTTAATCATTTCCGTTCTTTTTATCCTTGTTTCCTGAGTATTGTTACTTAAAGTTACACGGGGAACAGAAGATGGGATCTAAACAACAAGGAATTTTCGCCTTAATTAAATAAATCCTTCAAACATAGGTATTAGTAGACTATTATTGGTTTATCATCGAATTAATTTTATTACTTTATCCATTTAACACTGAATAAACAATCTGAGTAACTTTATTCTATACACATATTATTCGCATTATATATCATCCTAGTAAATTATATACGATCCTGCCTTTTCTTGTACAATTCTTCTTACTATTAACATTTCATTTAACAGTGGCAACTACATAAGTATGTTTATATGAAACTCTCTAAGCCATGATTACTTTGAGGGATCTTTTCATGCACAATCATATTATCATAGTTCAGAGTTTTTGAATAGCAAAGCCATCTCTAAAGAGATTAAAATATTCTTACAGTTAAAAAAAATTCAATTATAATGTGTGCGAACGGAGAAAACACTGAAACAACATAAGGGCAACTTGCTCTTCAATAATGTGGCACTTTGTCACAATAGTATTAAGCATTTAAATGTTACCGTAGATTTAACGCGTACACTTTTTAAACCTGTGAAAATTAGCACTATTACTACTAAGTTATTCAATATTAAATGTTTGCTTCAAACTGGCGTTATACGCGAGAAAAAGACAGAGAGACAGAAGGTATCTACAATATACTCAGGTCCTGTCTCACAGCTAGATGATGGTAACTTCGAGATCCGGCGACAAGTCTTGATCAACTGTTTGCGTATTGTCCATTCTGACTCGCCCAATGTTCACAATTTCCATGGACATGGAAAATTCTTGAATTCGTTTCTCTGTGTAGCGATGAATGTTTGCTCCAGAGGTCATGAGCAGAGCTGCACACTTGAGATCCTTTCTCTTCAACGCATAATGTAAAGCAGGCCATCCTTTGTCGTCCTCCAAATTCAAATCCGCTCCATTTTTCACCAGCAGCTGAACTGCTTTGTAGTCTCCTTCTTGGGCCATTTGATGCAAAATCGTCTTACCACCTTTCATGACGAAATTGATGTTTGCCCCGAGTCTGAGTAATAGTTCGGCGCAATCATAGTTTCCGATTTCGAAGGCTAAGCAAAGAGCAGTTCTTCCCTGCAAGTCCACCATCTCGGTTGATACACCGCTGTTCACAAGGAACTTAGCGAGATTGGCAAATCCATTTTGAACGGCTCGATGAAGAATAGTCATTCCTTCTTCGTCAGGAATAACTGCTGATGCTTGTAGAGTTTCCTTATCGAGACGTTTGTTCAGTTCGATGTACTCGAGCTCGTGATTGTTCTGATCCGAAATGAGTAGAACGGAAGATTTGGCATGTTTTGATAGTGGTCGCGTTAAATCAAGACATTTACGCACATCATTGCCATATTGACCTTCCTCGTCATCTTCTTCCAAACAGCCGATACTAAAAATTCCCGAGTCCCGGATATTACGGCTAGTAATCCTATTAGCACCCCCGACTAGAGTGTCGGGCAATGAAGACCCTCGCTGACGATTTAAACGCTCTTTTAAGTTCGATCTCACCGGTATCGCACTTACAGCCTGTAAACCATACTCAAAATTTTGTCTTGTCGGAGACGTAGCTGGTGAACTAAATCTACGTGGTTTTTGAAAAGTTAAGTTTTGTGGTTTTTTCGAACCCTTATTTAAGGGAGTTTCTTGTCCATTTTCTCCTGAGGTCTCCAAACTAAACTTTTCTAGTTCATTTGTTGTTGTATGAAAATCAGAGAGAGACCCTTCACCGCTATCACTTGAAATGCTCCCATTCCTTGATTTCATCGTGGTCATGCCTGATTTAGCGAATCCTTTCCTTTTAAAAGTCTCTGAGAACTTCCTTAATGGCGAAGGAACTCGCCCGTTCTTCGACAAAGTTTGTGCAAATAAAGTTTGACCTCGTAAATCATTCGAAGATGAAGTTTTCAAAAGACGGCTTTGCAAAGCTGTGTACGATAGCGGTTGAGTAGTTTTACCGAGCTCAGGACCCTTATAGTCGTCCACAAAATCCGGCTTCATGATGGACACGCTAAATCTTATCCTTCATAAACCAGAGGGATGATCAAAAAATTGCCTTCAGTTATGCCGTTGCACAGTTTTTGTCGCATGGATTACGCTGAGTAATTGCTGTAGGACAATGCTGTTGGAATCTTGCTCCAAAAGCTTCAAAGCTGAAAGGATTAACACAGAACAGTTAGTCTTTGTTCAAAGGCCTCTTGGGGACTAATTACTGGTGGAGTGTACATACACAAACCTACATCACAGCCAGATGTTCCACTGGCTTTTCAAGAAACACTTTAAGGTCACCACCGGCTGCAAATGCAGAGTCATTGAATCTTGTTCACAAGGTAACTGTGTCTGAGTTTATTGTCTGCTGAGCATTTGGTATGAAGAGTAAGCGATGATTAATTAACTCTTGATACTTTGTCATGTGGAGTGATGAGCAATCAAGCGGTCAGCTTATTAAACACCTACTGTTTCTAATTGTTGGGATCGCACAACAGAGTGCCGCTAACTGAATTTTACGCGACATTCCAGGAGCATTTAGCAATGACTAGCAGCCCGCGCATAAAGCAATTTGAAAAAAAAGTGAAGATATTTCAGCAAATTCTAGAGACCTGAAACCAAAGAATTCCAGAGACAGGTGAAAGAAGGACTAATTTCTTTACGGAACGATGTTTGATTAGTTATGTAAGTCTAGACTCAGTCTTTTACCTGAGGCATTGAAATTAATAAATAAACATCAAACTGGAAAAAATAAACAAAGAATTGAATTGTACTCAACATCAATCAACTCGAATATTCCTTAATAGCATGGCATGCAGCCAGTGATGACGCACGAGTTATCATGTAGGTGTTAAATTCAACCAAACCGCTAAAATTGTATGCTTGCTTGGTTTAGTACTTTTTTAATGGTAGAGGAACTCATAAACAGTCTAAATTCAGAAATGCTTAACTGCCCCCGTCTGTTCTTTGTTAAATAAAATTGTTGCAAGTTTTGCGAGTAAATCTTTTTGTTAACTGCTCGAAACAGCAGCAATCCGATTGCCGTTGTTTCGAGCAGTTATTGATCACAATATCTGTAAAACTACTAAACCCTTTGAATATGTCGCGGATGTCCCTTTGCATTTTTTATTACTATAAAAGGTTGCGTTTTCTGGTATAGTTTTCGAGTATTTAAGAAGTTAGCGATCTGCGTCAAACTGGTCTCGACTTTACACGAAACCACGGCAAAACATAATCACAGTTAATGCTGCGTAACACAAGGTATCCGCTCAAGTTGAGGGAAATAAGTACAAAAATAGCAAAACACGACCAATTATCCGAATGGATACAAATTTAAACCTACACTGTTGTCGTTATCCATCAGTTTAACAATGTCATAGTCTACTAATCTTAATTTATACCTTCTTGGGCATTATCGAGCCCTCCTTTTTGTATTATTCTACAAGGGATAATGATTTGCCGGTAAAGTTTTAGAGTCGCACTAGACAAGCGTCTTATTCCTTTGAACCTGATTCATCGGATGGCTCTCTTCATCAGAATGCACAATTTAAAAATTATAAAATGTCTGAACGCATGCATCAGTTCATTTTGGGACTTCATAACTGTCTTAGTAACAGGTGTGTTACTTGTTGACTCATAATTACCCGTGAGGGTGTCTAATAGTGACATCGATACAGAAACTGCACCAACAAGAGAGACTATAAACTCTTGCGTTGATGCAATGCGTCATGATCTTGTAGCACTAGAAAGTGATGTTTTAAAACTAATTATTGTTCAAGAGATGAGACTCAACAAGACCCCGTAACATAGCTACGGGTAAACACATAGTTTGAAACATTTTAATCTTTTGGACCTTTGCTTTATTTAAGGCTATCAACCAAATTAGGTAAAACTAATTTCAGGCCATTAACGACCCTGAAACCTTTTCCTTTATTTCCTCACGTTTTTAAAATGATTTATGAATCACCACGGGCTGATAGCCACAATCAGTTTCAGTAGGAATCAGGCTCTTTCAACGCGGGCGTTTTAGGCTAAGGAATGAGATCAAATCAGTCTGACCAGCAAAAAGAATTTCAATAATAATCGTGCTAAAACAAAGAAAAACTGTGAAATTTGTAGCCGAAAGACTATTGTTTAGTAATGACCATGGCACTGAGGTATTCTATCCTAACAAAACAATCTGTACCTCTTGGTTTCCAAAATGATATTGCCACCTCATGGTGTTGTGTGTTCTTGCTGAATGAACCAGAAAACACAGAGCATTTAAATTATATTGATGCACTGAATTTTCAGTCCAATATAAAGACAAATTAATGTTATCAATGGGAGATACCGCCGCCACATGCAAATATTCAAATGAGCAGTGCTGACTACAGCAGCACCATAAGGTGAGAGAAACACCAATTGTGCAAAACTCAAAATAACGGTACAAATGGCCAACATTCAAACCAATGAAAACGTTTGTAATAATCCTTCTACTGACAAATGAGGTTTTTACTAATAACTGAATATCGATTAGTAAGCTCTTATTCAAGTGGCCTATATCTACTACCTACTTGTTGCTATGTGAAAATGCTAGTTCATGGTAAATTTTGGTTTATATCAGCCATCTTAACATGTATCGCCGTTTGTGGTTATTTTTTCCGTTATTGACAATGCAATAAGTAACGAAACTGTTATCTAATATTCATATATTAGCATATAAAAAAGCAAAACTAAACTCGAAACACGTTTTGCGTGGCTCAGTTTTATCAACGGCACCACTATTCTCAAAATGGTCCTAGTTACATATCAAGAGCTTTCTTATTTCTCAAATCTTACTGAAAACTAAGGCAACTGGCTTCAGATGAAACGAACGACTCCAATTTCCCCACAGTAGACATTGAATATTTCCGTGTAACAACATTTTAACCAAAGTTTTATCACGTTACTTTTATTGAGTCAATTTTTGCTTTAACTGCTTTGAATAACACAGACACTGGTGAAAAAGAAAAAAATTGAAGGAGTTAAAACTTTTAAGCCAAATCTCATGCGGTAGTGATAAAATCAGCGAAATCTGCAGAATCCCTGGGTAATCATATGCTAGAGCGTGCTCTTGGGAACTTACGCAATTTTCTTCGCTGTAGACATCAGGGTGTGATGAATTGAGGTGCAAACAGCACATACAAAGTGTTAAAGAAAAAATAAAAAAAACTTCTAAATCAAGTGAGTCACAACTGGAAACAAGAGTCCTGGTGCGGATTCCACAAAAGCACGCCATTTTCGTACCAGTTTGTACCAAGAGATTATAATATCCTGTTTGTACTCATAATTTCGTAGAGCCTTTCGACAACTCCATCCAAAAGACGGTGGGTAAGAGGCAAAGACCGCCCTTTCGTCTGCTCTCTCGTCTGCCTAACCCTAACCCAGTAGTGAACTGGTTGTAGTTAGTTGAAACAGTAAATATCTTCAGCGAGCAAACGCGCATAAAGCGATATTTTCATCATACTGTCTTTGTTTGTGTGATCCTTTAGATCGTTCGCTAATCTTGTGATACAAGCTCCGATCTGATAATCAAGAGAGTGTTTTTACCCACCTTTCAAAGTTATGATTTCGAGATTTATCCCAAGGAGAGAACACGTCAAGCAAATTTGAATCAAGTGACTTTGTGATCGTCAAAGCAGAACTTTAACCAAGTAACCCAATCAAGCAATGCTTCGTTTCTGATGGATATAGCTAATGCATTAAGCTTAAATAAAAGCTTTCTGAGCCAATCCACTAAGTACTCACGGTTGGTCGTTTTCCTTATGACGATATTGTTCCCCTGGCGTTTTCAAACGCTTTCAGCAAAGACTTTTGACGCAAACCTTGAGAGCACCTCCTTCATCGAGTTCGCACTTTACTTATATACTTTTGTGAAGTATTAACTCGTTTAATGGTTTGTGTTTAGCATCTTTTGCATTTTTATAGTTTCTCAGAGTCGTAGGTCCAAGGTTCTCTCTATGTCAAGGTTGTTCAGAGAACCATCTTGGGCAACCGCTTTACGAAATTAAATGTAAAAGATTTAGTTGGTTGAGCGTTTGTATTTGAGGGTAAGATAAAAGTTAGATGAAAGCTTTACCGGAACACTTGACCTTGCCCTGAGCATCCAGAAACTTTAAATTATAGTTTCTCGTTTTAATAGTTTTAGTTCTGAAAAATTTGTCACAAGTAGATGTGGTGAAAACAAGAGACAAAAAGCAAAAAAGTTTTGGGCAAAGTTTGAAAAAGCGCTATTCAATTAAGATAACATCCGTTAGGTTTACAACTATAGAGTGGATTAGTTTTTTATCAAAGTTAGTCTGACCTCTCAATCAGTTTGGCGACAGAAGAAGCGTTTGTTGACGTCATTTCCTGGTTGAGATGTGACTTGCAAGTATTCAATTCTTGAACTTCAACACTCTTAATGATGATCTCTTTCATTACCGAACATTTCGAAACCTTCCGAAACAATATCGAGTTCCAAAGTAACGGATACTCAAATTTCTTGAATTTCTGCTTATTTCTATTTCTTGCTGAGGGCTGATACCTTCTTTCGCTGCCTTTTAAGAGCTGGACACAAACGGCATTCTTTACTCAAACAACAAGCGCTTTGCTTCAGCCTTAGAAGCAACCTTCAGTAAACCATGCATTGCGACCCATCATGTTAGTAGCTTGCAAACAAGCCCTTACTAGAAACGATTTAAAACCAGCACTTCTTCGCCTGCGAGAAAGTTTGAGGTCTTAAGCAACGCTGGCCGGTGAGAGGTCTGAAAATGGTCTGGCGCTGATAAATGGTTAGTGCCAGATCCCTTGCAGAACTTTCGCCTGCTAGCCTGGCTCAAGGTCAAGGTAGCTTTGCTCGTGCCGCAGGGCTAATAACGATAATGCAGTCAGGTTACTAAGTTTTTCTCAACATGGCCGTGTCCATAATCACCTTTTTTATCCATATGCTGACAGTTTTTGTGCAGATAGATTTTTCTTTGAAACATCAAAACGCGATTAGCAAAAAAATCTTGTACATACTTTCTGTAGAGATAGGAATCATGTGTTCCTCGGAGCATACCTCTTTTTAAAATACAACTTTGATTTGCGCCTGAAAAGTAACCTGTTTCTGGCCTCATATGATTCTAATCTCAGGGCAAAGCAATTGAAAATATGAAAACGAAACCAATATTACAATTTAACGCGGAAAAAGCCCCTTTGAAAAAGGCTTTCTTTCCAAGAATTTGAATTGCAGAAAAAAAAATTAATAATGAATATGAAAAGGAGGGAAGTTCCTTTAACGATTAAGCCTAGTACAATAACGAACTGACAAAAACGTTAACAGCCGAATTATTACTGGTGGGCATATGTGTTGGCGGGTCATCATAGAAAAAAAAGAGATAACCTCGCAATTTGATGATAACAGTGGCATGAAGTCACGCAGTCGTGTAAATTTATCGCGTTTGAAACTACATAACTAG